ATAAAAGGATGGAGTTGTAAAGACCAGAAAGCATTACTAAGATCAACATTTCGAAATTAAGCTGTGGATCTGGGAGGCAGTTTTAAAGTCTGTTCCCATGGCTGAGCAAAATTCCTGCAGCATGGGTGTCATGCTGTAGAGCTGGAGCATATTTGCTGGGGCTGTGGATAGCCAGAAGTCTTGCTGTTTAGTGAGATGACTGTTTTTTCTCAGCTTGACAAATGACATGCAGCACTGACAGAATACTTCTCCTTTGCTGGCCATCACCCCTACGGACACTGGCCAGAACAGCAGCAGCAGGAACATACCCTCCAACTCTGATTTAATCACACGGAGCCCAGGAGACTAGTGAATAGAGCTGTTAAGTCTCTGTTTGGTTTGCTTTTCCCATCTGTGTTTGATTAAACCGAGAGCAAGATTTATTCATTTTTTAACATCAGGAGCTGTTGGTGTCCAAGATGATGGTTGATGTTAAGGTATACATACACAGTTTAACCTGGCTGAGGGCCAAAGAGGCCTATGATTTCCAGCCTAGACAATTTATTTGCAAAAGGACACAAAATCCCTCTGCTCTCAGACATTTCTGAAAGGATGAGCACAACTACTTCCTGCTGTCCCAGGAACACAATACGTAAAGAACACAGTAAAACAGTAGGCTCTCCAGGATGAGCCAGGCTCTCCAGGCATGCAGGCAAACACTTCAGTTTTACTTTGCTCCTGACAGCCCCTACATAGTCACAACTACCAACGATTTTCTGATTTCCACTCCAGGAATCTTAAATAGATTGGAGATACCAGCTCAGTGTATAAATATTTCTTCTAAAAGCCAAGAATCCTGAATGGCTCAGCTGGGGAATTGCACTTTATGGGAACTGAAATTATGTGCCAGGCTCTCCACTGTAAGGTGGGATAGCTGGAGCACAGACACTTGCATGCCTAATGAGCTACTGTGAGAATAACACTCTCTTCTAAAGGAGACGGAAAGGAACCAAAAGATGGGATTTGAATTGCTTCAAAAAGATAAACTTTTCCTCAAACAATAGGGTTAACTCAAGACAGAAAGATCAAGTGTGCATTTTTCAGAACTGTAAAGGGGTTTCTTTTAAATACGTAAGTTTCAAGCAATAACAGATAAAGCTCCCAAAATCCAGAGCTTCAATGCAAACAGCCTCCAGCATTCTTGATGGTTTTCCAAAACTTCTGGGCATCTTCTTCTCAACAACAAGCCCCTTTCCAAAACGTAGCACTCTCCCCCTCGTCTCTTAATCATCACTCATCTCATCAAAACTAACATGGTGACATCTACTTTCTCTATTGCCTTGCTACTATCCCTGCAAGTACACTGTGGATCGTCAGGTCTGCCAGATTTGTTGTTATCTGCATTCTGGTCTTTTCAGGCAAATGCCTTCATAACATCATGTGAATATCGTATTGACTGTGGCACTTACACAGAGCATCATCATATTACAATGATTCTTGTAATACTAAGCTTCATGGTACCCCCATATGGCAATAAAAAGTATGCTGAATACGAGAAAATTGTTATTTCAGTAGAGCTTAGAAAATAAACTGTATGTCTCAAAGCTTATTCAAAGCCCACCATTGGTTTGCTTATCGCATTGTATTTCTATCGCTCACATATCCATCTTCCCCAGAAACTTTAATACAGGCTGCAGAATCTAGTTCCACGTGTGATAGTTCCTGTTCTGAATTGACTTTCAATGTTAGACAAAAAAGCAATGACTTTTGTTACTGTTTCATTCAAGAAGAATGGTCTTTTTTCCATGCTCTTTCACATTTTTATCATCTGTGAGATGACAGTAGGAGCTGTGCATGAGCCAGTACAAATTAAGCAGTATTCATATGCTTTCTCTTTTATAGCTTTTAAGAATACTGGCAGAAAATGATGGAATCTGCAAGTTTCAGTTTTCTTGGTTTCTAATGAAAAAAGAATTTGAATTGTATGCAGTGTTAACTTGAAGTGAGGAACTTGGTCACTGTACTGAGTCGTATCCTTCAGACCCAATGCTGTTTATGCATTTTATTCAATACATTAAAAGCAGACTGTATGAGAGCGATTCCTATAGCAGGCAGCAGACCCTAGGAGAGAAACCTAATCCCTGAGCACCGTGTTAAAAGCTGCATAACTTATGTTTTTGAATGAAAACCTATGTGTCTGGAGTGTTCTGCACTGAACTAAACTCTCCACTGTGTTAGCTGTGCCTATAGCTACAGTTCCCTCAGACCCCCGTTTCCCTTTTGGGGAATACAGGTACAAGGCAGCCTGTTATAGCAATATTACAATAAACTTGATTTAGGCATGAGAAGGGTGTCGGGGTGACCCATCCCACTGAGAAAATTCTCTCTTGTCACACACAGTGGCACACCTTGTTGATGCTTAAGGACTTTCAGTGGTGAGAATACAGGGCTGCTCAGGTTTCTAAGGTGAGCTGAGTCACTGTTTGATGTAGGTGCCTTATATTCCTCCAGAGGGGTAGGTGCCAAAGTTGTTTGTTGAGTTGGTTTTTTTTTATTTTTATTTTATTCTTACGTTTTTGTTTGGTTCTGCTTAGAGACCACAGAAAGTCCCTGTCTTGATGGCCTCAGGATCACCAGTAGCTGCTAGCATCGCTTGAATACCACTGCAGTTTCTCTTTCTCTGTCAGTATGAGGACAGAAAGCAGTCCAACTCCAGATGCTTGGTACAGATATTTGATCATACCCAGAAAAATAATACTGTTTATCCAAGAATGCTCTGTAAGTACTGTTACGCAAAAATGGCTTCTTCTTCCTCAATGCTACCCCTATTTACAGAAGATTATTTAGAAATCATAGAAACTGCAAAGAAGGCCTCATGCCAAAGGCTGTTTCATTGGATATTGAGACAAATTCTAAAGTAGACTAAGTAAGATAAATACAGAAGTATCTGCCAAAATTATATTACAGAAGAGAAGCCTGGTTAAGTATCATCCCATCCGATTGCTTAAATTTAAAATACTTAGTCCAACATGAGTGAAAATGAATCCCTCTGACGAATCAAATTACTTGCTAAAAGAACTGTCAACTTGCCATTTGTATAACCAGTAAAGTATTAGGATAGACTCAGTTTGCCTTTTCATGCAGTGTACTTTATTTATAAGTCTTTTGTTAATTTTAGTACGAGTTCAGCTTTGTTGGTAATGAACTGACATTTTTAGATGTCACTGCCTGTAGGTGTAATAATCCCAAGTTAATTCCTTCTTCAGATTTTCAGCAATGAATACACTAGATCTGGGGTTGGGTTTTATTCTGTTTTTTACCAAATATTCTTTGCAACTACAGATGTTTAATTAAAGGCTGTTAGACAATTTAAACTTCTCAGAAGAATACAAATAAAAGCTGTTAATGAAGTAAATATCTGTTTAATTTACAAACATCAGTAGCATTACTGATATCAGTCCAAATAAGACAAAGCACACTGCATTACACATGTACATCTAACTTTTTTTGTAAAAAAAATAACAAAATAAAATTGAAAAACATCTGCATTTTTACAGGGTACCCTGGGTTTTACTGAAAGAAGAACACAACCCACTATTGATTACCAATTTTACATTATAATTTAGCAGCAACATGTTAACATGGGGAACATTAGGGCAGTAAAGTAGTTTTATTATTTGGGGAAAGTCACAGTTCTTGATAGCACAGCCTTTTTTTCTTTTTTATAAAAAAGGTAAAGAGCTTTATGGGAATATTAATTTATAAAGATCTACCTTCTAATGTCATATTTTACACGCCATCTTATTTTCTGTAAGTACTGTATATAGGGAAAATTAACTTCTCTACAATTGCCACCTAGTGTAAAGACATTTTCTGTCATACATTACAGGTTCTTGGAAGGTGTCCTGAATATCTGCTGTATGTGAAAACTGCAGATTGTCATCACTTTCAGATTCAGTGACACCAAGTGGTCAGATTCTAAGGAAAAGCAAAAGGAAGGGGGAAGGGGAGGAAAAAACAGACCGAAAACATTTACCCCAAGACGACATGCTACGTTAGTTCTATTGCAAAAAATCCTGATCTTTAAGTCCTTTTAAAAAAAAAAAAAATTACAAAAATACTGGGACAAATATAAATTAATATATATTAAAGCATTGAAAAACAGTAAAAGGGATGGCCTAAAAGGGTTAAGTACAATGTACTTTGATACAATAAATACTTCTCAATGAAACCGAATACTGTATAGAGTTGTTTAGAACTCATAGAAACAGAAATCCATATTATTACTAATTTATCCATCAATAATCTATTTTTATCATCCCCAAAACATTTATATTACAAAAAATTAATACTGGAAAAGGGCAGATAAACACTTTTTTATGCTTCTTTTGCTAACATGCTGACATAAAAGTATACATCATCAGGAGATTTCAGGATTATAGTATATTCTCATATCTCCCATTTCCCATCCATTAAATGGGACTCCATCTTCTCAAGATGCTTAATAATTCCAAAAGATAAAATGTATTTCATACAATTGTTATTTCTGTATAATCTGATTCTTTTCACTCATAATGCTTCCTCATCCATAGGTAAGTGATTGGTATGGTCTGTCAAGACAATAAAATATACTGATACGAAAGTGAAAAAACAAGCCTCGTGTTCTGGTCAATATTTCATCTCTGAGCTGTTAAGTTGAAAGTCACATGTGTATAGTGTCAGTCTATCTTCAGCACGTTATAAAGAAGAATCCACGTTAAAGCAGTTAAAGTTTCCCATCTTTGTTGCAATGTTACTAGGTCTTTTTTTTTTTCTTCAAAGCTCCTCTTGGCTATGAGAAGTCTCAGTTCAAGCACTTGAATCTTTTTTCAAATGAAGAAAAAGTCTTTATTCTCATAATAAAAATAAGTCTGTTCTGTATTTTACAATATATTTCAAATATTTCCACTATGAAGCATTAATTAGTCCGACACGGTCAATAAGTATACAACATTTTCAAAAGACAAGTGTGACAGGGACACTTAGGAGGGACAATTTGTACAGCCACACTTCACCACTTTTTCAACCTCGTCCACAAATGATGACCCGTCAGTGCATTCAAAAGAGTATTTCCGTCTCTTGCTCCTCAGTGGTCCACAGCACTGCCCGGTTGAACATCCTCCTTTACATTCTAGTCTCGATACCTTCTTGGTCGTCTGGCACGCAGCATACCCTTGCTGCTTTTGGTAGTAATCTCGGATTCGTTCCCCTCGACAAGAGATTTCTGTAGAAAACATCATTTAAAATAAGAGACACACTTCTGAGACACAGGTCAAAGAATGGTTGACATTGCTAAGGAAGATGCTGTGATTCTAATTGCAGTTGGGATTGATATTTTAAAGTTTGACTCAGACTGTATATTGGAAACTAGTGGTTCTACCAAACGCAATTTGATTAATGCTGAGTTTTATTTCCTTTACCTCCTATTTTCAGTAAAGTTTATATTATGTATATGTAAACCATAAATACAAAGCTATTACAATGACAAGAAAATTGGAAGCTTAAATCTTTTCCTCTTTTATAAAAATACACATCTTCTGTTCCTACATTGCTTGCAGCTGGTTCTATTTACCATAGGGAAATGTTTCAGAGAGCATGCAATTTAATTTATTAGACCTGGAGTTTAATATTATTCAAACTGTTATTTAATACAAGTTACATTCCACTAACTTCATAAATTACTGAGGTATAAAACCAGCTAAAAATGAGACATCTGTTAAAAGTTCTACAACCATATTCTTCTATTCTATTCACATCTATGTACAATACAAAATAAATGCCATCTGGGGTAAGGGAAAGAGAGGGAGAGGGAGAGCTTTGATAGACAAAGGAAAAAGAAAAAGGTAGGGGGAAAAGTCATCCTGTTTTCATCCATCTCACCTGCATAATTCGCTGTGATAAATCAGTTGAAGCTGAGAGGTCAAAAGTAGAGTTTGTGATAAAACTAGGAGCAGAATCATTGGATTTGGCTTCTCAGTTGCAGAAGGCAGAGAAACAATAAATACAGAAAGATACAGCAGGTAAAAGGTAATAGTTAAATATAGTAAAAATGTGTTTCTGAATAAAGGCAAAAAAGAGAAATGTTTTCACAGCAAAACATTTGATGAAAAAATCCTCAAAATGTAAACAAATTCATGGGAAAAGTTTGATTTTTTTCTCTCACCGAGATAAATTCTTATGGTAAAAAAAAAAAGCAACAAATGTGTGTATTGTGGGGAAAAAAAAGTTGGTAATGTTTTTGGCTGGTCATGTTTTAATAAAAAAACCTCTTTTCTAAGACCAAAACAACAACATGATTTTTCATTTTTTTTTTACCTTTATCACAGCTGTCCCCCGTGTATCCGCTGCTGCATTCGCAATATGGTTTCCCAAGTCCTGAAAGCCTGCATTTGCCATGTTTACACCTGACGGATTGGCAGGGGTTAAACAGCATTTCCTCTTCATCACAGAGGACTCCCCCATGTCCCTGCAGGCATTTACAACTGTATGAAAACGCATTGATCGGCAAGCAGGTACCATGCACACATCTACAGGGGAAACAAGCCCAAGAGAATAAAAATAAATTATTCATCAAAGTTCAGGCTAAGCAACATTAACTACAAATACTTTGGACTGTACTCAGAAGAAATTGCTTTTGTTTCTAATGGACTTTTTCAGTGAGATGCAGTGAAGTGGTTTATAATTGGTATGCAGGTTTACACAAAACAAGCTGCAGTGCAGAACTGTCTCACCAGAAAACAGCCACTGTAGATGTGTTATGGAAGACTTTTACAGGCCACAGTTATTAACACCAACATTTCCTGGCTACCTAAACTTTCAGCATGCTTTTGAAAAGAACACAGAAAGATCAAGCCCAAATATAATCCACTAGAATTAAGTAGAGAAAAAGGATACTCACCTGAAATTCTGGTTCCTGTATCATTTAAAAAAACGTATTGTCACTCATGAAGTATGGGGCTCCCAGCACAAAGACAGGTCAGGCACTTCCTAACTGAAACTCTTCTGACCCAGCAATGGCAGTTTCAAAGCGGAACACATGCTCCCCTGTCAAATACATTAGTCTGCATTGCCAACTGCCAGTAGCGTGGTCATATAATGTATGAGGCAGGTGTTCACTGAAAGCCAACAGCACTCATCTAGTACTCACGCAGAAGCTCACACTAGATGAGGTTGCATATTATCAAGTCTCACCCAAGTGATTAAACTAGCTACTCTCCCGGTTGAGCTTTGGTAAACATTTGTGGCAGGCTCAGATCTTGTTGTTAGACAAAAAAGGCTGTGATTAACTCATCTGCTGCATCCGCTAACTTCTGATGTACAGTATGGGAACACATACGTTCTCTTGAGAGAAAGGTGGCGTTTCCCAAAAGGAGGATGTTTAATTACCTGTTCCTAAGCGTAAGCTGAAGATTAGGGGAATTCATATTCTGAAAACATCACCAATGACTTGGAATAAAATCACTTCCCTTTGTTCATTTGGTGGAACAGGGTCAATAACTTTCTTCCTAGAAATAATATTATTTTCTTTAACTGTTGTCCTGGTACACAAGTTTTCTATTTGCATACTGTTTCCTCGGGAGACCACAGTGAAGATTCCTCTGTAGGGAGGAATGCAATCCTGACATTCAAGGTCACAGTCACAGTCACCCTCCCTAATGTTTCTCCCCTCTAATGTTTTTCCTCTCTATATTGTAAGATCCCTGAGCCCACAACCTCCTTAGTAGGCGGCAGTTAAATTAAAAAAATTCCATTTGATCTGAAACAAAATCCTTTGCTTCAATTTGAAGATGGCAAAAATTCATATAAATTGCATCTCATAGAAATTGAAATGTTAAGAACAACATCTCATTTTGAAATTTTTTAGATAACATAGTTTGTATTTCTGGAAACTTTTTGCTTTGTACTCCTTCAGTACAGAAAGAAATCTGGTAAAATTGAAAAGAATACACAACACCTTTTAACTTCGACAAACTTGCATTAACTATTTATAACTGTTTCTGTTTATAAATATCAACAAGTTCCACTCATCAGTGAAATCTACATTACAATTCTGCATCTGTACCCTTAATTCTGTGCAAGTGCTTTAGACATGGTGTAACTTGGAGGAAAAAGAGTGTGGGAAGTCATTCTCATCACAGGATATTTAAATGGAAGGCACAACACATAGCCTCCATTCACATATCCAGTTTGGGATTAAAAACTGCAAATATAAAACTTAACTAATAGCTTAAGCACCTCCAACTTCCCTATTATGCAAGAGTCTGTACTTTTGAAGCAACTATGTTCCCTAAAAAATTCCAAATTGTTCCTGTGGTTGAAGTCTGATATTCCAAGACTGTTAGATTAAGCAACTCAAAATTGAAGGCTTAGGCAGTATCACAAGGCAGATAGCTTTTGTTTAGTTTTCATTATGTTTAGCATTTGATCTGTTCACCATTTACAAAACAACCACTTTTAGGACATCTGACGTATGAAGTTACTCAGGTGACACTGACATCATGTTGTATTCTATACAGGCTGTTTTAGATATCAAAGCAATCTGTGTCAGGATCTTTGGTAAAGTTCGGCTTGACTTAGAAGATGATTAAATCTTAGCTAATGCCAACTCTCATACTTTTGCTTCCACCTGTTCTTTGAAGCCCTGAATTTCATCGTCAGACTGTACTGAAAGGAACATCAAGCTAAGTGCAAACTCTCGGGCACAGTTTCATCTTATCTAATTTTAGGTACCTATGTCAGGCACCCAAGTTAGATGTATAATTGCCATAAGCTCCCCACACAGTCACGGAGAGAAACGAGCTTATCCAAAGGGTGATTAGACCACTTGAGGTCTAATTTACTCTTTAGAAATGTGTTTGTTCCTTTACTGACTATAGAGCAAACTTTGGTCACTATGTTCCTAAGTCAAGCACCTAGATTTAGGCAAAAGAAATCTAAGCCTTAAGCCTTTTCATGGTGTGCAGGGATCTCTAAAAGATCCCCTACATTTTCGAAACAGAGATCATAGTGACAAGTCTGTTTCTCAGATAAAGTGGAATGTTATACTGTATTAGACAGACAAAATGCATCTATTCAATAGACAGGATTTAGACGTGAATCAAGAAATACAGAATCAAATTCCCCAGGAACTAAAGAACAAAACCCTCCTTCACTCCAAATAAAAAAATTTGGTTTGGTTTTCTCTCCTAAAAGCTCACAGCACTGTATACAGCTGAAACAAACCCAATACTTTCAAGAGCTAACAAAATACTAATGTTGTCGTCACTTAATTCTATCCTTGATACTGCCTGTATCTGACACTTGCCACATTTTGTAATTTACTGCAAAAAGCATGCAGTTTGGGTGCTGATGTGTATAGTTATAAGAACCTACACAGAATCTAATTTTTCAAGGACACTTCAAATAAATTCTTTGGGTTTTCTTATTATAGAACTTGATGGTTACAGTTCCACGTTATTTTTGACTCCTAAAATATAAAATGGATGTGATAGACATCACATTTGTATTTTTTAACCCGCTGTGACTTCCTTTCTTTATCTCTTAAGTTACTGTGAAAGAGGACAGGGTAAAAAAAAGACCCATAAACAATGAAGTGCTATAATGATATGCCTCACAAATTCACTGCTGTGGCTTTGGGAAGAGTGCAAAACTTAATAGTACTGAAAGAGTCCATAAGCAATGTAAACAACACTAACTGCATTGTAAAGCATGCTAACTGGTGTATAAAGCTTTAAAGGGTCAGACTCTCATCACTTAAACATCATTTTATATGGGAGTTGAAAATCGTCTTCTTAGAATCTCTTAGCAAACTCAGGCCACTGATCCTCAAAAGTCAAAAGTTATATAGGCCACAGCTCTGAAAAAATCAGCAGCCAAAAGACTCAAGCACGCTTACTTTACAAAAAAAAAAAAAAAAAAAAAAAAAAAAAAGAAGATATGTTTGCCAAACTGTTGTAAGGACAGTGGTACAAATGACAAGAATGACATCTTGTTGCCCATGACCAATAAATCCTGAAGAACTTTGAACTTCTGAAGTTTCTGATCTTCTTGTGCTGGGAGACCATGAGCCAAAAAACTGAATCCGTCTCTATAGTAAATTTAAAAGATGAATATGCATAGATATCTATACTCTCATATACACATATACATATCTTTTGCTCTCTCTCTACACATATATATACATGATCCTCTCTATAAACATACATAAAATGCCCAACCTAAAATGTTCTAGTCAAATCAGCAAAAAGAATTAGCACACGTGGACTTGAACAGAAGTTTACCATAAAGGTAGAAATCTATTTTCCTGTTAAAACCTGGGGTACTGTGAAAATATAAAAATATAAAAACATTAGCTATATCTATTGTATCAAGTTTTTAAAACACATTAGAGAATAATAATAATAATTGTATTTCCTCATTCTATACAATTATAAATAAGAAAATAGATTTTTTTTTTTTATTTGCAAGTTCTTCTAAATGATTTTTGTACCAAATGTCATACCAACACTTGCATTGGTGTAACTCGTTCCAGAAGTAGCCCACACAGAACTATATAGGAGCATATCCCAGGCTTTAGGCAGAACTACAGTAAGATGTGTGTATCTGCTCCCCTAAACTGGGGACTCTTCCTCATTAAGTTTATGGAAAGAATAGACTGTAACCTGGATGCTGTTTTCACTTTCACATGCCCAGGATATTTTCTTTCTTGCTGAAAAAAGTGTGAACTTTTATGAAAAAAATATATATAACAGGAGACTTATATGCATATTATACTACTGTTCTGTCTTGAGGAAGGACATACTTATTTCCAAGACATGGATCATTAGTTTGTTGATCACAGAGGGGTCCAGTCCATCCTCCTTCACACTCACAGGAAAAGCCTGACTGGCTGGTAGCATGGCATGTTCCATGCACACAAACTTTCTTATGACAAGGCTCGCAACCTGGCAGAATTCCCACTTGCAGTGGCACATTTCTGAAGTCCTGGAGTTCGCTGTTGATATACAGATTACGGATGCAACCATGGAAGCTGGTGCCATTCTGTCCTGGAGATTGGCGTAAAGCTGCTATGTTATTTTTCACAGGCATGCCTAGGAAATTAATAATGGCAAATAATCAGTGTAATCTTTGGTACAATTTTCTATACCATTTTCCCCATTTTTAAACGTTTTAAAAGAAATATTTCTTCCTAATTAATTATTCTTAGATATTCAGCCTATAACCATGAGCAATGATCTAGTATTTGGAAATTGTCCTGGTTGTCAAGCATGCATGTAAACCAGCTCCAGACCCCTGAGTCTCTAGGTCCAGCTAAAGAGATATATATAGGACTTCATACAGGAAGCTCACAGCTGTGAAAAGGTTCAGATACATGCCTGTTTTTGACCTAGTGCAATTAAGTCCAGGACAGTACACAGTTTCTGAATCTTGGAAAAACAAAAGTTGTTGAAATTTAGAAGTTGATACATGATTTTTTTGTAAGCTGCTAAGATACTCAAATCCAGAAGAACGTAGTAGGACCAGCTCATCAATTTGGAGCTGGCATACACATTTCAAATGTGAAATTTTGCTAGTGAAAATTCTTGGAAAGAAACGCTTAACAGGAGGAGGTTCCGTTACTTTCAAAAATTTTTTTTTTCAGCATGTCTCAAAAAGAGATTAATAAAAAAGCCACTCGTAGTTTGCCATTACAGTTTTAAACAAAGGTAGTCAATAATAATAATAATTCAACATCAAAATACTTATGTGTAGATATTTCTAGATAGTGCAAATGCCCCTGATGTTGACCATTTTCAGAATAATTCCTCTGTTGTAGTCTATAATTGTCACAGGTGTAATTGGAGCAGGAGGTATATGCAATGCAGTTATCCTGTTGTGGTCAGTTAATCATTTAAGACTAATTCAGATGGGACATTACTGTTAAACATTGTTTCCTTGTAAAAATGAAGTTTCTTCTACTCCTACCCCCTGCTTTTTTTTTGCCTTTTTTTTTTAACTTGTTGCCAACATATTGGCCTATATTAGTTAGTCCTTAAGGTATTACATTCAAATAATTAATACACAACTGCCTAAATACCTCCTGAGACTAATAAGTAAAGGAAATCAAAGTGTACTGAGCACTAGAAAAGGCTCTGTTTACCTGAAAATAAATATGCTTATTAAGCTGCACAGGTTTATTCATAGGCAAAATTAACAATTTTCATTCTGGTACTTAGTAAGATAAACCACAGAAAAAGGTAATGTTCTGCATAGTTGCTCCTTAACCATGTAAACTGGTAATTCTAATGGTTTTATACAGTTACTTTGAACAGTTAAGAGTAATGCAGAAGTGCTATGCAACCTAATGAAGTAGACCTGCCTTTCATTTAGAGGTTATTGTAATTTCATGTGCTAAGCTTCAGTGATTGTAGAAATGAACAATATTGCATCCATACTGCTGAAGAGCCTAATCTTCTTTGATCTTACCAGTTAAGTAAAATAGGCTTGGGACTATTATATTAAAAGACTCAGACTGCAATCATTAGTTTCCATTTCCTCAAAACTATTTGCCATATTCTCAAAACGCAGGGACAAGGCAGAGTCATCAAGGCCTCTTCACCCTGATGTCTCCCTTGAAAGCAACACTCAACAAATGTTCAGGCATATGGCCTGAGGTATCTAATAGCAGAATAGATGCACTGAATTTATCCATTGTAAAAATAAAAGCTGCATAAAACTAAGTACACCAATGCAATGCTAAACTAGATGTTATACTTGTGAGTGTCAGGAAATTTAGATATGATTTCTGGGAACCATATAAGCACGTATCACAACAGATAATATGAGGTATATCACATGTGATTCAGAGCATTTTTTTCTATGATCTCTAATATGGAAGACATTTGGAAACACAATGCAAGCATATACACAAACTTTTAGCCTATACACTTTTTGCTACTTCTAGCAAGTTACCAAGTGGTAGAAGGCCAAAGTGTGTGCAAAAGCTGCTCATATTCTTTAGAAATATTTCCTCGATAATTTTTAGATAAAGGTTCTTTATCAGTTAGGAAAGAACTACCACAGAAATGATGCAGACAAATATTTCAGTTCTATTTTCTGAAAGGTAAGAAAATAGTTCCCATCCCCCTTTAAGCTTTTGGTCACTGAACCTGACTACAGGTAAATTACAAAATTACTGCTCAAGAGGGCAAATGGTAAGACCCCTATTAAATAACAGTCATACAATAACACTGTCAAAATGAGTATCTCATTCAGAAGCTGCCAGAACAGAGCAGGCACAAATGAAAAGCAGCTGATGCCCTACCTGTCTCAGAAAGTAGAACAGAGCAGGCACAAATGAAAAGCAGCACCTGTCTCAGAAATAGGGACTTCCGTGAAACAAGGTGCCACTCTCAACTAGTAAAATATGCTCTAATTTCTAAGGGAAGAATGTGAAGTATCAAGGAAGTCTGTGACCCCTTTGAAGAGATTTTGAGAAGAAACAGATTGTCCCTTAAGACTTCTTACAAAAAGCCATGGGCTTTCAATATGATTTACTGAAATCTGTTATAGAAAGACTGAAAAATATCTAGTGTGTGTATTCTGACCACACAAGAGAGCCATACAGTTGGAAAAAGATTAAAAAAAAAAAAGAGTATAAATTGATTAGCCCATTTTCTGTAAAAATAAAGTTAAATTACCCTTCGAAACAACCCAAATATTGTGACCCAAGAATAACTTTGTCAAAAAGAAAAAGGAGGGGTGTGGAGAGAGAGAATGAGAGAGAGAGAGAGAACCATACAAGGGCTTGCTGTCAAGTCTGAATTTCATCCTGCCAGCTGAGGTGATGCTTACCAGAAATGCCATTTTAACAGGAAGGTGATAAGAGTAAGTGTAAGCTACATGATGATATAGGTGTCAAACTAAGACTTTGGCAAAGATAAAAATACTGCATAAAATCCTAGTGAGAATTTGAGTTCTTAACTGATGGAAATGTGTGATTGAATTCTCTAAAAATTCTAGATACAGTTGGATAAGGAAAAATTGAATGACTCTCAAAAAGATGGGTGATATAAAGATACAAGAGTTAAAGTTAATTGTCTCAAGAATTTTAAAGATCATAAATATATAAACGTAGAAAAAGAACAGAAAAGTTTAAGCGCTGAATATCAACCTACTGGTTTTTTGCTTTATTTTGTAATAATGTGCTTCTAATAATGGTTTTCATTATGTTTTGGACCAAAATTTTCTATGACAGCAGAAATAATTGTCTGCTTGGAGCCTGAGCATTCTATAGCCTCAGCCTATAGAATGAATAGAATTCATTCTATTCTATGAAAATGGAATTTCTTCTATTCTGAAGAATAGAAATAGAAGGAACACAGGGCTTCTGTAAAGAATATGCACTAGGATGAAAAAGACTCCTGCTCTTAGGACTCAAACCACTAAAGGAAAAGGTTATTTCAAAATTTATTTCTTCTGATACTTCAAAATGATGATGTAGATTAATATGATTCTTCTAATGGAGACACAGATCTGCAAGGTGAAGAAGCAAGGAGGAGAACCACATGTCACAAATCAACAAGTAAGTGTTAGCACTGCACAGAATAAATGTTTATAGTTGGCAGTCTAGCCTCATTTCATTAAGAGGTGCCCGTAACAGACAGGGGGATCATCCTGCACTAAGCTCAGTTTTCAAGGAGTGGCAAAATTGGCCTTAGCAGTCATTAAATAACAAACTGATGTTGACAATATAAGTAAGCAAGCACACAATGTCTTATTAGAATCTAGGATCATCTCTCCTTCCAAAAAATGTGGCATAGGACACTATGTAAACAACACTGCAGAAGTGATACACATAGAAAAATGCAGATGTGCTTCCACAAGGCAATCCTCCTTTGAAGATTCATGATATGAAGCAATTTTAAAGGCAGCTCATACATTTGATAATTTTAATTCTTTTCTCTGCTGGTATGGGGAGCGATGACTAATGTTGAATTCTATCTTGTACTTCTTCTCATCTTAGATGGAAGGAGGCAATGACAAAATCTGAAAAGATTTGACAAAAAAGCTGAAGTGTTTCAAGGGAAGAATGGGGATTTTCAGAGGCAAAAGTCAATTTACCCCTCATCACTTGTAACTGAGGCACTTGTTACACTGGTTTTATAGGAGAAATAGACTATTCTTGCTCTGAATCAAAGCAGCTTCCTGTTTTTCTTTCCCATTAGAGGTAAATCTAAGCAGCTACCCTGAGCTTTTCTTTATATTTAGAAAAAGGATAAATAGCACCTTTGCTAGAGAAAATAGGCATTTCATGAATGTGCTACTGGTAGCATAATTTTTTGCAAGGAGGCAAGATGCTCAAGTCTAAAAACTTATTCTCAGACACAAAACAGTTCTTAAGAATTAGACAAAATGAAAAAGAACGTAGGTATTCTTTTTACAGAAAGAACAGATCAGAAGGAGACTCCTTACATGTCTCCTATAAAAGCGTAAAGTTAAACTAAGTAGAAGATGAAGACTGGTAGAAGATCAGCAGTATTTAAAAACCATGCTGAATCTCTGATCCCTAAGAACTTAGACTTGCTACCAAGGACAGTAAGAAGGCACAAAGTGGTGGCTGAAGTTTCTGACTCTTTTAGGTCAGAAGGTTATGCAGGCCCATCAGAAATTCAACAGAAACTGCTGGTTAAAACAGTGGGCTTGAATCCATAGTTCTACAGAGTAAATTGCAGCAAATGATCAAAAATGTTTCAAATAGTTTATCTCCACAATCACCTACTACCAATTTTACTGAAAGAAACAATTCTTTCTTCTCAAAACAAAACAAAAAAACCCAAACCCTGCCACATACTGTGAAGCAGGTTCCCTTCTTACCTAATGTCTTAACTCCTATCAGCCCTAAGCAATAAGATCTCCAGACAGAAATTATACTTCACGGCTTTATACCTTGCTATTATTTCCTGCAGATATGTGTAATGAGTGAAATAGAAATGTAAAACATGATCGAAACAGAATGCTACCATTCTACACTTTCTGAATAGGCATTACTGCATCTTCAGGTAGCTAAACAATGTTAAACACACTTCTTCAGTATAATAAAAAACTCCATAACAGTAGAAAATTACAGAATTTTACAGTAGGCATCAAATATCCGTACTGATAAAAAAGCAACAGGTGCAGTTTGAGGACGTATTATTTGTTAAAACTGAAACTATTGAGATTAACTGCTGAAATTTCATCTTAAGGTGTTATCTCAATGAATGAGTCTCTTACCATGTGTTTATTAATGTATGTTACTAGAGTAAATTAGCTATGATACTGTTAGTAAGAAGCAGTAAGATCCTCTTACCTCCTACATACAGTGGAGAATCAAAATTCAGAGTGGATTGCTTTGACAAATTGGTAATTATCTTGGGGCTTCCTCCATCGATAGATAAAGACAGAATCTGATCCATAGCTAGCAGCTCCACAATGTGGAAATTGCCATCATTAATAGTTTCCACACTGCAAAATAAACATTAATATTAATTTTAAACAGTTGACGGTCTGGTTAGAACAGTTTTTGGTCGTCTTCCCTTTTAATTGTTAATACAGCATCAGAACAGAACTCCTCCCGGAATACAGTCTCCTGAAAGCTAGATTTTAAGTAAGGACATGCATATATGCTTAAGAGCTAATACAATATAATAACCCATCAATAACACTCTATTAATAATACGTATTGTAAATTAATAGCCCTTTTTCATTCAAAGTTATTCCTGTCCTCATAAAGTAATGAACTGTGTAAATATAGATGATGTTCTAGATATCAGTTGAAATACATTTACTAGGCAGAAAGGCGAACACAAAAAAAAATTGGAGTTCTTCTGCAACAATGATCAGAGGGCTGGAACACCTCTTCTATGAAGAAAGGCTGAGAGAGATGGGGTCATTCAGCCTGGAGAAGAGAGGGCTCAGGGGAGACCTTACTGCGGCCTTTCAATACTTTAAGAGGGCTTATAAGAAAGATGGAGAGAGACTTTTTACCAGGGCATGTAGTGGTAGGACAAGAGGTAACCATTTTAAAGTAAAAGAGGGTAGATTTAGATTAGATAGAATCTATAAAGTAAAAGAAGACAATGCAAGGAAGAAATTCTTTAATATGAGGGTGGTGAAACACTGGGACAGGTTGGGACAGGTTGCCAGAGAAGTTGTGGATGCCCTACCATTGGAAATGTTCAAGGTCAGGTTGGATGAGGCTTTGCACAACCTGATCTAGTGGAAGATGTCCCTGCCCACGGCAAGAGGGGTGGAACTAGATGATCGTTAAAGGTCCTTTCCAACCTAAACCATTCTATGATTCTAATGTTATTTTAAGATATTATTTGTGCGTGCATGCATGTGTGTGTGTACACGTGTGTGTATCCTACATGTTGCATAGTATTGGGTTTACATATTTTGCAAGTCTGAAGGCCTGAGTTGACTCCAGTGATACATAAACCTACTATTTCATGGAAAATGGAACTGCATCTAACCTTAGTCCTGCCAGACAAAATCACATCATTGGTCCAGACAGCTCCACTGACACTAGTAATAAAGTAATTTGTTATCTTTATTAGGCACAGTAATTTCTGTGTGTTCAGCTTCTGGCTAGTACAGTGAATACCATAATCATTTTTTTTCCTTGCCTACATGTACCATTTCCTTCTGCTTACTAACAAGATATGAACCCACTAGTAGGAGAATGCCTGAAAGGTGTCATGCAGAAAAGGCTTGATTCAAGCATGGTGCTTATGCTGTGTAAGGACAAACCTACACGTGTTACTAAGTACAAGAAATGGCTGCCTATACTTACCAGCCTCAATATCTACACAGCAAATGTTTAAGTGCAGGGTACCTACTCTGCACATGAACACAGTTTAGGTACGTCAGAGAAGGAAGAATATTATTACTCAATGCTGGGACTGAATATATCATTGTACTTACATTACTTCCAGCCCATTTTCCACGGGAGAATTAAGAGCTGAATGTATGGCTGCATGGAAGTTATGACAATGAGCTGTAGTCCAGAGACCAGACATTATAACCATTCCCATGAAAGCCTTTATTTGCTTCAGGGCACCATCAAATAAGTGAGCTTAAGCCTTTAAAAAAAAAGTTATTTAAATGAACCAACTGTATGATAGACTGCAATGGACTGAACAGTCATACAGTCAGTTAGCTCTTCTCATTAAGAAAGCAGCATAGCTGAAAGGGATTAGCTTCCTAAATCTCAAGGCAAAAATCAAGCAAATTACCTTATAACATCCTTAGCGATGTTTTAATTAACCTAACTGCTTTTGCCCTGGAACAGATCAGAAGCACTCACATGGTCATTTACAGCTGTGACACATTAAATAACTTCTTAGCTATTTTTTACCAACTCTAACTATTTGGACAGGTTCAGCTCAATACAGATAAAAGATCTGCATAGTAGCATGCATGCTTTACATAAACTCAGCTCTGTGTGAAAGTGTAAACACACAACAGAGCAGGCACAGGCAGAATAAACACTTTTTGGGAGTGGGCAGGAGGGGGACTGCCAGGTTCCATGTGGGGAAGGATAAGGTCAGGGTTCATCATTCCTAAAGAGTAAGGTCTATTCAAGGTATTAAAAGGTTTGTTTGCTGTGTTCAAGCAATAAGAAAAGTGCCAGGATTAATTTATTTAACGCATCTCAATGAATCTGGGAAAAAAGTTGTGCTAAGAAATCAAAATGCATATGACTTCTTGACTTAAGTAAGCAAGAAACCCTCATATAATGTTCTTGTTCCAAGGAAAGTTATGTTATTTTACAACTTACTAACCTTTCACACAATAGTATTTAAAAGGACGAGAGCAACACAGAACATGCATTTTTATAGCAAGAGGTCATTCTGGGGGATGTATAAAACATAATGTATAAAGGGAATGCGTCTCTGTTAAGAGTGATTATTAAAAGCTTCTAGTTTAAACTGTTTTACTGGTAAAAATTTACTGCAGAAAGAGGAGCCCTTCTAGGTAAGGGTGGTTTAAATTAAAGGGGAAATAAACACAAGGCATATCTGTGCAATATTTCCTGCCAATGCACTTACATTACTTCTAGCCCATTTCCCATTGGACAAATGAGAGCTGAATGCATAGATCCTAATGAAAAGCTGTAAGAAAAACTGATTTAAAGCTTCTGGAACTCTGTAGAAGAATAAAGATTTGGGAAGAAATATTCCCATATTTCCAATAAATATATGATGAAAACTAGTTTACAGAATGAAAAGGTTTTTGGTTTTTTTGTGTAAAATCCATTTAACATTTAAAAATGGACATCCAGACAGAACAAAACCCAAGTGGATCAACTTTCCCCAAATAACCATCTCCAATGAATTAATTTTCTTTATTAGTCTCGGCACTGCCGTCATCTCATTTTGTTACTCATTGACTGATGAGTGCTTTTGGGATGATGGCTCTTTCTGCAGTCAATTCCCATTGGTAAATCAGTTCTTATTCACTCTACACAGCTAACTGCTGTTATTGTTGATTCTCCATATTTATCATGATTAAATCATCTGTTTGTAACTTTGTTTTGTTGCTACTGCAAGCACCTCTGTAGGCTTTACAGCTCCCCTTTGATTCCTATTCAACACACCATTTCTTGACTGCCATTTATATTATAAAACTTCTATTTGAATCTCTCTATTGGCTGTTTTTTTATTTTCGCCTGTTTCAGGCATCTCATCATTGTTCAGTGGAGTATGACTTGTCTTATTCTTTTTCCTATACTATCCATGAATCTTCACTTCCTTAATGAAATCTGTAAATCTCTTGATAAACTTATCAGTTTTTAAATTTCCTTTCTGTCCTTCTCACTGTAAGCAACTTCTCATCTTAGTTTGCAAACTATCTACCCTGTTACCAAATCGTTCTTAAACCTCGTTGTTCTTTGTCTTCTTCATATCTCTCTGATAAAACATAATACATTAACTTGTTTTCTTTTATAATTCATTACCTATTTGAACTGGGTCTGGCTGGGATGGAGTTAATGTTCTTCATAAGAGCTGATATGGTGCTGTGTTTGTGACCACAACAATGCTGATAACGCACTAATGTTTTAGCTGTTGCTGAATCATATTTGCACTGTGTTAAGGTCTTCTCTGTTTCTCACTCTGCCCCGCCAGTGAATAGATTAGGGGCGTGCATGAGGTTAGGAGGGGACACAACCAGGCAGATGACCCAAACTAACCAAAAAGATATTCCATGCCACATAATGTCATGCTCAGCAGTAAAAGGGAGAGGAGGGGGTGTTTAGGTAGGTTAGCCATCTTCTGCTTGGGAACTGTCTAAGCATCAGCCTACCCATGGGAGATGGTGGGTGATTGCAATTGCAGCACTTGTCTTGCTTTGTTTTCTTTCTTTCCTCCTCCACTTTTCCTTTGGTTATTAAACTATTTTTATCTCAACCCATGATTTTTCTGACTTTTACTCTTCCTTTTCTCTTCCCCTGTCCCACTGGGGGTGGAAGGGGAGGTGAGTGAGCGGCTGTGTGGCACTTAGCTGCCTACCGGGGTTAACCCATGACACCATTTCACAATATTATTTTAGCTATTTATAATTTTGGTAAACTTCAACTGTTTCTTCTAAAATTTTCCATACTGAATTGTGCTTGAAACTGATTTTTATTTTTCTAAACAGACCAGATAGTTTCCCAAACTGAAGGGAACACACTCCTATCTCTTATGCTTCTATTAACCTTGTTTTGCAGGTCATGACATTTGGCAGTGGGCTGGCACCATGTCTATCCATTTGTCATCTTTCTGAAAATCCACTGAGGCAAGGTGTTAAAATATTGAAAACGTGGAAGTCTGCAGAAACTGGAGGGCTAGATCCCCAAATTCTTTGTCCATGCTGGCTATATTTCAACACACAGATGATTGGCACCTTCCCTCCAGCTGTACTTTTGGGCTGCAGTAGTACTTGCTGGATCTGGGCCTGCCAGCCCATTCAAAGAGAAGGTATTGCCTTAGCTAGATCAAGGTTACATGGACAGAGAAAGAAACTGTGTGGTTCTCATTCAGAAGAAGAAAAAATTAGGCCTACAGAGAAAGAAGAGAAAGAGGTAGGACTGGACAAGAAACAGCTGGAATAAAGCAAGAATCAGAGTAATGGATGGTAGTGGATTGTAAGGAAAACAGGACTGAAAATTGAGTCAATGAGGAGACTGAGAAAGACAAAATAGAGAGGAGAAGTGAATCAGTAGGTTAATGTAGATTATGTCTGTGAGCAGTTTTTGAGCAAAGATGATCAGATCTAGCTGGCTTAGAAAAAAATGAAGGGAGGGAAGGGAGGAAAGAAACCAAAGGGAGGGACTGAAAGAAGGACAGGAAACATGACAGGACACAGCTTTAATAGGTAACAAAGGTACAGAAAGAGAACATGCAATGAATGGGTGAAAAGAAGGTAAAGAGCTGAAAAGGGGCAGGAAATGTCACAAAGATCCTAGGAAGGTAAAACAGTAAGAACTGGAAACAGGGATTGCTGGAAACAAAAGTTAGAAAACCAGGAACAGGTTGGAAAGGATGAAGGGATTAGAGTCTAATGTGTAAAAGGTCCTGTGCTACAACGTACTCCTTTTTAGAACCTGAAATAGAAATTAAGTAATATCTAATTTGTACAGTGATCACTAGATGCACAAACATATATACAAATGTGGGAATGTATACATGGCTTCCAACATATGTACTTCCCTCAAGGGCAAAAGACTTCATTACAGTTGATCTCAGTACCATTACATGACAATTTTCAAATATCTCCTAGAAACTCACCATCAGGCTTATTTGAAATGAATATATAATAATATACAAGTGTGTATCTGCTTCACTAAACAACCATGTCACCTTGTAAGACTTCACTACTTTCCCATCCCTTTCTTCACCGTGCCTGCATTCTCCACTTGTCACATAATTCAAAACAGCTGATCAACTATGTAGGGGAGATGCTTCTAATTGTTCTGTAACACTAACCTAATTGGGACTGTTTGTTAATTGATTACTTTGTTATTAATCCCTTCTACATTTATGGTTTTTAATTTTACCTGTGTGAGTATTGTTTTCCAATCTTTTTCTAGAAAACTAAAATGGACAAGTGTGAATTACCACTATATATCACATTCCAGTAATACTGGAGAAAGTGTTAAATTGATGAGAAGGAAATATATGTTTTGAATGGGAAGAAACATTCTATTCTCGATAGATTAAACAAATGGGAGTGAAAATAACTTGAAATTACATATGATCCTGATTCCTATTGCTTCCTATTCTCAGACAGCTGTACCTGTCAAAATAAAAATCAACAAAAATAATTAAACTCCTGACAAAACAATCTAAACTTCTTTAGCACTATCCCAGATAGAAAAGAAAAACAATCTTATTTTGAATTGTAGTCATGGAGAAAAGTGAATGTTTCATGCAATTTTAGATTTGTGTTAAATACATCAATCCCCTGTAAAGTCAAATCCTATTTTTAATATTTGAAAATTTATACAATTAAAATACATATACTATTTCCACATGTTAAACCATTTCATGGAATTGTAAAAAAACCTTATGAAATACATATTGCATCAGAAAATAAAAGCAACCTTAAGATGCTTATTGTAAAAGGCTATGTTTTTACTAAAGAACTTTATATTGTATTTTATAGGAATGATTTTTTTTTCCGTGGAATGCTCTTAGTAATCTACTAAAACCACAGTTCCCTTGGTCTTATTACCTAACAAAGTTTAGCATTGTTTCCCTGCTATATAAACTTAAGCTTTTGATTTTATATTGCCATTTGAGTGCAATAATTTCTAAAAATCATTTATTTTCAATGAAATGTTCCTAATAGAATGCAGAACAATGTCAGCTGCTACGAACTCCAGCAAGTAAATATAGACTAGATATAATTTTACAACACAAAAGTGTAAATACAGCAAAAAGAAGATTCAAGGAAAACCCATTTAATACTTCCGCTTTACTTCTGCATGTATTTGTAGCAACAATAGGGCAATCAAGGCCAAGAAGTGATGCCTGTTGTCTTTTTGCTCACTCTTGCAATGTCTGTCTGCAAACTCTTGAAAAGTTACATAAAACCTCCCTGGAAATTCAGGTGGTAATTTTTCAGAGAACCAGAGAAATTTGACTTTAAAAAAACCTTAAAAATTATGCTCCAGAAGCAGATGTGGATTCTGTCTCTTAATGACTTTGGAAGCAAAAAACATTTCTTTTTCAAGGGTAGTGCCTTTTTTCAGAATCAGGGTTTTCACTCTCTCTTTACTTGCCAGGGAAAAGTCCCACATTATACGACTGCCTAACACAGAAGAGTAACTTCCATTTCATTTCTGCTTATGCAGTATAGTTCTGCACTTTACCCTGCACACTAGGAAATTATTTGGCAGTAACATCATGGAAAAAACTCCACTTCCACATGTGAGCTTTACACAAATGTATAAATATTCTGCTGAAAGCGAACTCTTACTCAGTTTTAATGGATCAAATAACATATTATCTTTCTGACATATCTGCATTAGAGTTATTTTCCAAGCCAAATCATGTCTTTTGGCAATAGGTTTTAAATGTCTGACAATACATTCATTTGAATATATTTCTTTTAACCATCTATTCAAAAATGTGACTTTAACATAAGGAATTAATGTTTTGTTTCAGTTAGAAATTTGTTTCATCTGGGTTCACCTGTAAATAGCAGAGGCTGGATAAGATCCTGTGTCATAACTGACCCTCACTCTACCCCGGTACAGCTCTACTGCTATATGATCTTTATCGCCTTTGTAGAGCAGGATTCCACTGTCTTCATCTGTGGCAATCTAGTTAAAAGAAAGAAACACTTAGAAAGAACTAAAAACAAATATGAAATCAAAATGCTGTATTAAGTGAATCTCTGAATTTACTGCCATAGTCTGTTACTTCACTATAAAATTCTTCCTTGAAGGACAACCTGACAAAATTCTTTCTCTTCCTATTAATAAGCCCATCTACTTCAATATGAATATAGAGTTATTCCAGTGACTCTTCTAGATTTTTAGCTCAAACTGTGAAAAGCTCTTTAAGTGAGCCAATGACAACTTTGGCTAATTTTCCACACCATGAAAAGTCACTTGCACTCCTTTCCAGATCAGAATCTGCAACACAAACAGTCTTACCTGTAGAGTGATATTGGTTTGGGGGCGTATCTTAGCTGAAGGGATTTGTAGATAGGATTCTTTGTTGACGAAGTTTATACTGATCAGCTTTTCACATTTCTCACCCTGGTAGCCTGATAAACATTGACAGATTGGTTCACTCTCTTTTATGATACACTGGGCTCCATTTTGACATTCATAATTATCACAAGGGCTGGTGCGAGGTAGACCCTTTGGTGGAGAAAACCCAAAAAACAAGCCACTAAATACAAACAGAAAAAATTAGTATTTCCAAAAAAAAAAAAAAAAAAGGCAACTTTGACAAATGACATACAGGTTTGTACTGTCTTCAGATCTTTCTCACCTGTATCCTTCTGGGCAAACGCATGTATATCCATTAACTGCATCAGTACACTGCGCTCCATTTTTACATTTGTTGTCCTGGCAGTCATCAAAGTCAATATCACAATGCTCACCTACATATCCAGGTGTGCAATCACATCTGTGAAACAGGAAAGGAAGTGGGATAGCACAGTGCCTTTTAATACAGTGTGCTTATGACAAAGTTAAGGAACTACCGAATTGTTTAAAACTCAAGAAAAAATGCATTACTGTGACTTTGTGTGTAAAGACTATGTAGCTTAATCATGTTATATGGGGAATCTACATATGTAATGAATACAGGTTTGCTAGTTACACATGGTTACTCATCTGCCATTATATTGAAGAATTGTGGTTTAAATCTAGAGAGCCCTCATGAATCATTTTGACAGTTGTTCTTGGAATTTATGAGTAATGCAGAATGTTACGGGATGTTGTAAGTGGTTGTGAACACTAAAAATAATCAATATGCTTAGTTGCTGAAACCAAGACAAATAATCCAAGGCTTGTATTATACTGATGGGTATTTTCTTTGTCAACTGAACAGCTATGAATGGACCAATGCTCCATTTATACAGTTTAGAGGTTATGCATAAATTTTTCCCCTTGAAGTTCCACCAGCCTGATTTACTATAAATAGCTCCATGGTTAGTGAACTAACAGAAGTCTCAGAACACATCCTCTGCCCTCCCCGGGCCCCCACTGAACTAGAAACAGCATATCCTCAAGACAGTATGTAATGTGTGTTTCCCTTCCTCTGCCCCCCCATACAACTCTCATTGTTAATGCTAGTGGCATTTCTTCAGGGAATTCTTGTATATTAGACTGAGTGAATGCCCAGAACTCTGTGAAAAATGAATGGAAAAGATTACAAATTCATGCATCCACATGATTTTATTTTTTTGAATTAAGATGTATGTAATTGATTTCATTAGGTCTTGTGGTTCCCTCCTTGGTGTTGTTTGTTTTAGTATCTAAAATTTGCTCTAAAGTGCCAAGAGTGATTTTAAATAGCTGTGTAACTTTAAATTAAGTACTTCAATCAAATGTCTCAACTTTTATTCAACATATACGAATAAGAAAAGTGAAAAAAGAATATAAAGCACGCTATTAAAAAGCTGACTAAGTGAGATACATGCTTGAATTTACTGCGTGTGCTACTTTCTGATTTAAAATCTCAGAAAGTAACATGGAAGATTAATGAACTAGGCAGTAAAGTATAAGATGCCAAACTAGGTTTACTCAAGTGGCATGCAGAAAATAAACATAACACATAACAACTTAAATCCAACAAGTTTTCTATTTTCCAGTTGAAAACTACCAACTTCATTTCATGTTCATTTGAATATTTAATATATTTGACTATCTTTTGCCATATTTTAAATAAAATGTCATTTTCTCAGTAGTAGGAATAATAAATAATCTGATTTCAGCACAAGCACATACTGTACATAAAACAGGTGCTTAAGACAACAATTGAAAGTTGCAAGTTTCACATATTTATTAACCTAAAACCTATTAAAACCACTTTAAATAGTGCATACTAATTAATTATGAGAAGGATATGGTGTAATTAAAGATTAGTTATCCTGGGGATGGAATTCTTTAGTTTGTACCTTCCGGAGTGCCTTCCTAATAATCTCTTTCACAATTACTTCTCAGAAAGCAGTATAATTATTCCACTTCAATTAAATGCAATTATTTTCCTACTGTCCAAGCTACTAAAAGGGTTTTGTATAGACTGTCACATAGACTAACTGCTCTACTCTGCGTTCTTATTTAAAATCTGACTGGAATAAGAACTGTTAAGGATCAGTAAAATTCAGTAAAACATAGTTAAGATAATAATGTAGATCTACATGAAAATAACGGCCTATTCTGCCATAATGCTTGATAATAACTGAAATTAGTATTTTGAGAATAGAATTTGCTTCCACTAAAACAAAAGAAGTTAAGCAGGATAAAAAAAATAGAAATTTAGACTCAGTTGGACTGTGACAATATTTTAGACTTACTTGTATCCTTTGGGTGTCAAGATACACTTTGAGTCATGCTGGCAAGGATTCAGGTTTTGAGCACAGAAATCTAGTTTCTCCTCACAGAGCTCACCTGAAATATAATGTATGCTGTCAATTCAGTGAAAATATTACAGTGACCTGAAAATAGCTGTTTCTATTTTAAAAGTAACTGCTACAACTTTTGTTAAACTGAAAAATGCATACTTCATGATATAATAATAAATACTACATTTATAATAAATACTAATAAATAAATAAATATTAATAAATAAGTAATAGCAATAAATACTAATCTTTCTGATATGTCCTTTATGGAAAAAAAATTAGTTCAATGTCAATCATGTATCCATAGATATAAATGATAATTTTATGAAAAAATATTTTTTCTTTTACAATATTTATCTAGCTCTGCTGTACAGGAAAACACTAGTGATTGAATTTCTTCTCACCAGGACAAACAAGCCATCAATATGCTTTTCTCTTATTTATTTCTAAGCTCATTACACACAGAAATACCCAGATTTGCACTATAAGTAATCTATTACCTGAAAAAAACCCTGTTAGTATCACTGCATGTCATACAATTCTAATTAACCCAAAATGAAAACTTGCTTTCTACTTTTTCTTAAATATGATTCTCCAATTTTTGCATTTGTTAATGTTCCATAATTATCTATAACCTGTTCTGTGAAAAGAAAAGAAAAAAAAAAATCTGTGTCAAATGTCTACCCTTCCCTGCTGCTAGAGGCCTAACAGTGGATCTAATTTCCAACATGGGCTGTATAATCTAGAAAATATTTTAATATGATTAAAATATTATTTCATTTGCAACTTTATGACAAGGAAATGCTTACAGGTATATAAACAGATCAACGATGTCTTGTTCCTGGACTAACTCATCAGAAGATACCATGAATAGTGCACTCGCGAAGTTTATCACTGGTTTGTAAGATAGATATACTTATTCCAGCATCCGTATGAAGAATATATGCATAATCAACAGGTGTAAACCCTGTGCCTGCTGAATTTAGGGACTCACAGGTCTATCAGGCCCTAAAACTATGGAAGGAGTAGGGTTGCCCCTTGTCATTTGTCAAGTAATAAAAGATGAGCTAGTGAGCAAAGAGAAGTAGAACTGTACACCAAAATGAGGAAGAAAAGAGCAGAAGATAGCGGTGGATGAGCAGATACTTTCACTGCTCAAGCTGAGCTTTCCTTCAAAGAGGCACAATATTTGGCATCCCTCAGTTTTAGTTATCTGCGTGTGGTAGTGGCCCGCAGCGTAGTTAGCTGAAGAATCAGTACCTGCTGGAGATTAAAATAGCATATAACGGCTTCACCTCTTTCCTGTAACTGTTAACACAGTACTGAGGATAAGGACAGCACCACCATGAATACAGTATGGGGAAAGAAGGACAGACCATTTAGGGACACAATTCGGGTAGAATCAGGAACAGGTAGATTGGAAAAAGGGAGAAAGGTATAGGATAACAACATTGGAATGGAGATTTTGGAGAGAGTATATGAATGAAGATGTCTTCCAGAATACACACGCATGTGTGTGCACGTGTATCAGCTCATCAGCTACTACTGTCATTAAGCAATAAGGTTTCTGACATTTTACACTGCTCCTTGCCAAGTGCCTAGTACCACACAGAAGCTGCCTTCTTGCTTACACGGGCTTCTCTGGAAGCAACAGTAGATGGTTAAAAGTCTATTTGTCTTTTTTTTTTACAGGTTCAACTGATCCTCCAGAGAAATTTGTCCTTTCCACAACAAGTGTGCTTACACACTAGTGTTTAAAACTGCGTATCGTGAATATGAATACTGAATACGCAGGACCTGAGACATTATTTCCAGGACTTACCTCTTAGGGTATATAAAACTTATTTCAAATGATGGACAAATAAACAAAAACTTAGAAGAGTTGAGGAACAGTCTACATTAAAGCAAGGACAGAGAAAAAGGCAAAACTGAACCAGAGCCAAAGATGGTTATGCTGGATAAAAACACATCTGAAACATGTATGCTGTGATAACACATTGGACCTTTACAACTTCAAAAATGAGAGGAGAAGCCAAAACCACCTAGACAAGTACTTTGCAGCCATCCTAAAGATCCAGACTTGTTCTACACAAAGATTTAAAAAAAAAAAAATTAAAAATTGACAGCACATTACCAGTTTGCAAGTAGTGCATTTTCCCTACAAAACCAAATAAAGCTTTGAGTTAACACAAGAAAATGGCCTTCAAGCACAGGCGTCCTCAGGAAAACTGTCAGTAACAATGTGACTTAGTCAATATACGTAGGAAACTGAATGAAGATCAAATGCAGGCCACTGAAGATGACTAATACAAAGGATTTTAATTCTATCCTCAAAGCCTCTTCAGACTCTCAATGGTCTTAGTCTGGAAATGTGCAACTGTTATGACTAGGTCAGTGCAAAAAGAATCCTGAAATACCAGGGATTCTTTGCATCCCACGATATATCAAACAAAAACCAGACCCCTTTCTCTTTTCAAAGGGTTTTGTTCAAACAAAGACATATCTGAGAGGAAGTAATTCTTCACATAGCATTTAGTAAATTTGCAGAACTTGATGTAATAGCTGAAATCCGTTTAAAGGCCAGCAACATTTAAGAGTGATATATAAATACGGGAACAGAGAATTCAGATTTTCAGGAACTTGGAGTAGAGTAAGCAAAAATCACTGTTTTTTTAACCTAGTCTATACACATTCCTATGGCTTAGAAATGTATATATGTGCCTATGTATATGTGTATATATGCATATATATACACACACACCCCCATACAAATATCTTATTATGGCATATATTCTATATTAAATTACATGCAGAACTGCAAAATATATGACACCCCAATTACAAATAATAAAAATATGGCTGTTCAGTGCTTACAAGACTTGGACAAAAACACCTCTAAACATTCCCAAGATTATTAATTCTAACAGTATATCAGAGACTTTCTGAAAGTGACATATTGATCCTATCTTTCAAGCAGGGCTGGAGGTTTGCTGTCTCTAGTTAGAATCATAGTAAAAGTTCAGTGGAAAAAACCCAAAATACCTAGAAAAACGCAAATTAGGACTGGCATAATGGGAACATGCAATCTCACCATTGCTGTCAACTTTACTGAACTGGCATTGATTTTGCTACAGGATAATATTTGGGCTATGGCTTAGATTATTATTGGCACAGACCTCTGAAATTTCTTGTGTGGCAAACAGCTTTATTGAGTAGTGTCTAAGCCTGTCCATTTTTTTAAACCCCCCTCCCCCATCCAGGTACTTATAAAATACATGATTTCTTAGTTAGAGTACACTGCATTTTAGTAGTCATAGGTTGATGGCCCTAATATCTTCTGAACTACACTGAAAGCTGAATCACCTCATGAAAAGCTCAGGGGCACTTGAAAAGTCTTAATTCCCAAGTCATAGCTGTGAATCCTGCATAGAGACTGAGGGTCACACTGGAAGTTTAAGTCTGAAACAGGCTTACAGTTTTGAAAAATGTCCACTTCAAATCGTAAGATCAATGTTACACTACCAGGCCTACTGCAGCCAAATGGCTTGCAAACATTGTCAGGTATTTTTGATATTATGATCAGACTTTGATCTGAGTACTCTGTAGAAAAGTGCACAGACTGAAAAAGAAGAGAAACAGTGATTCAAAAACCCACTTGTCTTTAAAAGACAGGACTTTTTGTGCTGTGACAGCATAAAAGGAAGGAAAGTTTCCCTTTGCATTTGCAAATTGTATGCACTGTGAAGTAAGTCAGAATCATGTCACCGGAGGGAGCCTTCAATTAAACAGTCCATTAGCAACTAGCCTAGGGAAGGAAACAGCAATCGAGGAAAGGACATGGTAAACATGGTGGTCCATGTAGTGAAATAATAATGTAAAAAACCCTATGAACAAAAAAGTCAGTTTTACATAAAGTACAAACTTCCATTATAAACAAAGAGTAGAATTCATGACAGACTTGCACACAGGATCAGTAAAAAGAAAAACAAGAAAAATTCAAGATGGAATCCAAAATACGTACATCTGATACTGAATTTCTGAATGAAAATATAAATACTAGAAGAACAAACCAACATAACCCAAGTGCAAGGTCTTCAGTTATACTGTTAACAGATTTATATTCTGAATGGAGCGTTCCCATAACCAAAATACAACTGTTTGCAAAAAAGTTAATAGAAACGGTAAATAAAAATATGTGACATGGCGTCTGAACTGCTGAAGAATAGTTTCCTAGTAAAGCAACACCTCTTTTAGTGTACTGAATAACCAATGTGTTATTCAGAATTTAACTAAGACACGGTGAAGGGGAGAAAGTAATTTTGTTGAAATGAAAAGATAGTGATGAAAGCGAAACACTCATTGAAGGAAATACCAGATTTACCAAGGTAGGCTCCGTGGCTTTACTGGAAGGAAATGTTAGAGAACTCCCTGATTTGGGAAGCATAATACAATGTTTTAAAAACCATACTTCAAAATAATGAAAAAAAATTGTGAAACTGTCTCTATTCAAGGAAGCTTGACACCAATGTGTGTGTACATACTTTTATTCATCTAATAATATTGTAACTGAGGCTTCTGTAAGAGCTTGGCTAAGTAATTATGTTTTTAAAAGATGGGAACATTTCTGTATGTAGGAAAATAAGCAACAGACTAGTTTGTTTAAAAATAAGCAGTGGATAAAGTGTCGAAAATCCTACGAAAAGCTTCCAAAGTTTAATTAGAACCAGCAATAACTCTTTTCATAAGACATCTTGCTTAATTAATCTAGGGAATCTGCATTCTGGTATGGAGTAGCACTGCAACCAGCCAAACTCTGCGTGGTCTGCACAGTCCAAATGAACACAACCCTCCAAGGTCAAGACTGGAATATTTACTGAGTTTTTGCCAGTACATGTAGAGGATGATGCAGACTTAAACAGTCAGACAACACTATTAAATACTGATGATGAATTGTGTGTAATCCTTGATTAACTAACCAAAGTTACAAGATTGCTAGGTTCACAGGTCAGTTTGTATTTCCTCTGTGTATGTTAACTCACTTTTATGACTTGATGAGAGTATAAATCATAGAAAAACTTAACTCTGGATTTTCCAATATATAAAGACACGTAGTACAACAAATAATGAGGAACAATGCTATGAGGTGAAAAAGGATTTACATCGTTATTTTGAATAATTGGGCAATAAATTAAAAATACAGTCAAATAAAGCAATGTCAGCCACTATATTTATGAATGAAGAGGAGAGCTCTAACACAAATGGACATGGGCTTCTGAATATAATAGCACATTGCTAATTACAGGCAAGCTTACTGAAGAAACAATCTTAAAATCACTAGTGTATTAGCAAAGCTGAGTATGATATTAGAATAAAAACTAGAGACAGAATGCAAAAGAAAGGTCAGTTTTAATTATCAAAATTAGGTTTTTGGTAGAAGACTTACTCTCTATTCCAAAGCTAAAATAACAAATATATATTACAGACTTACTGATAATTGCTAGAATAGCAGGATTTTATACATGTACATATATGTCCATTCCAGCTTCTGAGCTTGGTTGTGATATATTGTGAGTCAACTTCTAGAGTATTTATGTTTTATCAATTAGGTATTATTATCTGAGTCTTTGACTGGAGGTCTCCATCTCATTACTTCTGACTCAAATAGCCAATAGAGTGTAGGAGTGGTTGGAAAATGACAGTGCCATTTAACAAACTATATACAGAAAAGTGCTGCATTTTTATGAAGTCTTGAGTTTGATGAACAGTAGACAACATAAATTATTTAAAGTCTTGAGCTTGTTATTCAGAAAAGACAAATACAAATATCTACTATATAAGGGACAAAGTTGCTTACAATTAAAAAAAGTTCACAGTCACAGTAGGATGTGAAACAAATCTGAACATTTTGTTGGAATGTAATTTTAAAGTCAAATTCTAGATCTGATTCATTGCTGGACTGTTCCTATCTTTCACCATTGCTTAAGTCTGTTCATCTATGCACGATGCTTGTGGATCTCAGTGTAATATGGGGCTTATTTAGTTTAACATTTCTAGTTGTTTTATATATGCTGTTCGGCAACAACAAAGAACTAGTAACTTTAAGGCAGGTAAGCTTTAAGACAATTAAGGAAAAGGAAAGGATGGATAATAGACCAGAATCAGTAATGGCAGTGATCAAACTAGTAGCAGGTAGCTCAGCTTGCCAAGGATATAATGTGTATTCCCCCTTTAGGAAAAAGCAGTAAAATTACTTTAATACTCCAGCTTTTAATATAGAATAGTCATTTGAAGTGTATTAAGCTAGATGAAACAGAAAATTTTACAATGAGTGATGAAAGACAAAAGTAGCAAAGGTATCTCTTTATTCTAAGAAGCTATAACACTTATGTGTAGTTCTTACAAGAATGAGGATTGTGATCCTGATTTAATGAAATAATTGAACTTTTTATCAAGTTTGATATGACATGATTTGATTACTTGCATGCTTAAATTTTAGGCAGGTACTTATTTGATTACCAAGTGAATTGAAAGTAGTAACTCAACTCCTTTATTGTAGTAGCAAGAAGGCCATGTAATGAAGTTTTGAAATGTATAAAAATATATATAGCTGTGTCTAGAGCTTGCCTAAACTGAGATGATTACTCAAAATTATCCCTTTTTTTTTTTCCTACTACTGTCACAATTAAAAAGATGTCTGGCATGATAAAACTGACTGATCCTCCAAGCAACATATAGACCATTAATAACTTTCATGTTCAGCTGGCAAGCTAATACAAGTGTGTATCACATACACATCTGCTTAATTTTGGTGCTGAACTTAGTTCACATCCCCTGGGTGTTTGATAATTCGTTTGTGAGAAATTTGTTCTTGATATAATCAGTAATTTTAATATGTTATAGTTCACACTTGTGTAATACATTTACAGTGACTACGGTTCTGTTTAGGATTCATTGCCTTTCTACCTTTAATCACATTTAAAGACATTTAAACTATCAGCAAGACTAATTATACACAGGTAACAGCTGCTTCAACTTGAAATGGAGACTTGAATCTCTTCATAGTAGCATCTACCCTTTACATGCCATTTGAAAAGCTATTTTTTGAACATAGAGAAATTTAGTTTTTCTTTTAATTTCCGGAAGTAAATCCTAAAATTCTGTAATTTACACTACTGGAAATCAGTGACAAAGCAAAATTTTATCCATGAATCACAGATGTTAAACTAGTTATTGTAATCTGCATTTTTTTTTTCCACTTTTTCTAGTTTTTCTAGGGAGAAGTACTCTTTTATAAAACCAACCAGTTTCATACTGGGATAGTAACAGAACAATGTAGAAAAAATAACTTAGGAAGTGACAAGGGGAAAGAAAAACAGGAGGCTATCTTTGCTGTCCACATAAGTAATAATAAAATGCAAATATGGCAACATATCTAAATGGAATACAGATTTAAGCATGGAACACCTGTGGATGGAATCACTTTCTGGAAATGTCTTGTTCTCTCCATCAGTTACAGAGAGAATTTAGGCTCTGAGTTTAAGTTGTAAGAATTACTCATCAGACGTCTAAATTAATCAACATAGATGGTATAATTACAGCCTTGCTCAACATGCTATTTCATGGATAATGAAAATATTTTTATTACTAGTGAAATATTATATTGCTGTATAGACTGCACAATATGTTTATCAAATTAATGGCAAATACACTACAAGATGATTCATTTGCTTTTAAAACTAAGTATGTAACTTCATAAATATGTCGTCATGATTATGTTAGCTCTCAGATTGTATAGATGATCAGATTGTTCAGAGGATGGTTTATCTCTGTTAATGAGATAGGTGTTAGGCAGAAACTTAAAAAACAAAAACAACAACCCAGGAATACCCAAAGTTAGTGTCATAAATCCCTCCACTATTACCCTTCTTGTACCATAGCCTCAGCTTAATGTTGTCATTTCAGATTCTCTAGATATTTACAGCAAAAAAAGGCCACAGAAATGATGAGCAAGATTGCCATTTTATACTCCAGCATATTTTCTAGTACCATAATCTAACAAAGAAATTAAAGCAAAACAGTGCTATAAAACAGAGAATACATTAGAACAGGATCAAGGTATGTCTTTAAGGTGATGAGAATAAAGACTTCAGAAGATCACCATGTAAACTTTTTTGTTAGTCCTATCAGTGGCTGCACAGATTTTTAATACATCTGAAAAAAAGACAATGAAGGTAGTATTAAAGTACTCCTGCATGGCGATCTGCATTTTCCACAACATTCTTCTGACATGTATTCACAGCAAGAGCCAAGTGCCTAGTTTGAGGATTTGCAGTGAGCTTTCTAAATTATATCTATATACGATTTATTTGATCATTTTTAAGAACTGAAATCCATGCACCTTTAAGGAAAGGAAAGTGAGAAACCAAAGTAAGTGAAAATAGGCTTAAAAGACAACTGACCTTTTTCCACTTCATTCAGATTAGCAGCTTGCAGTGACAAAGACAGAAGAGACAAGAGACTTTTTACATTGTAATACAACAGCATAGCACATTAAGCTAATGCACAACTATAGCAGCAGAGAGGTTGATATAGCAAAATGAAGCAAGCTTCAGAGTCTCACCTACAGCAGAGCAAAACAAACAGAAAAGGTAAGAAGTGCATGCCGCTGGTGGCATAAGAAAGGTTTTACTTCTGGATCAATTAGATCTGTGATCTAATGACTGATGATAATGAGCAAGAGAAATGATCATCTGTAATCTACAGAATGTACATAAAATGACCTGAAGTTTACTAGACTGAGGTTAAAATAAAGGAGATGATAATGTTAAGAGAATAGCAAGGTTAAAGAGTGCAGGACATAGTGAGATATTTTAAATGTTTTATTTCTCAAGGTTTCATCAGACACTCTGAGCGTCCGCTGATTCCATTTGCTTACTGTTGTTTCAGAGTTAGAGTCTGTGATCTTAAGAAAGCTCATAGTATAGTGCAAATACCATTCTTTGTCTTTCCACCTGTAACTGTGGAGGTAATTGTAAAACTTCATTGAGGCAGAGAAAAATGGATTCCTGATTCTTAAGCAACAAAATAATAAGCTTTTTTGTTTGTTTTTAAATCAACACTGCGTACGTGAGAAGTGTCAATTTTCAAGGGATTGCTAGAAAAGTCAAAAAGTGACTGGTTTTGCACTGCAACATTCTTTATAATATTTTTCGTAGTTTTTGTATGCATTTTCAGAGTTAATTTGAGATCCTAACAAGCCTTCCACATGAAAATAAAACTTTAAAGAAGAATGATTTACATTTCATACCATCAGGTTTCAGCTGACTTCTTCCTTATACTGTGCTACTGAAATGTAAAGCATATTTGCAGATAACCATTCACCCAGAAAAATATTCTGGGCTGGTGCACTTCCACATTCAGTACATATATGCTGTGACATCGTGAACACAGACAATTTGAAGTATTGCCAACAGAATTAAAAGAGAACAGGACAAGCCTACAGTGGTATTTTCCTGGTATGTATACTGTCCCAATCTCCAGCAACTTACAGCTCAGGGACTTTTTGAGCTAGAGATAAGTATCTTTGAATTTAAAAATCTTTTTACCTACTGAATATATAGCCTGTTTTCCTGATCGTTAACCTACTTTTGCCCAGCTAGTACATGAATTCATTTAGTGATAAATACCTTTCATAAAAAAACACATTAGCAATTTGCATATCTGGTTTTAACCTGTTAGAACAGATACCAAAATCCAAATGTTTACAAAGTTCCTCATGAAAATCACTGTATTCATACTGGACAGGGATTCTGCAACTTATCTTTCAAATCAGGCTATAGGCCAGAGAAAAAAAATCCTATAAATAATTTGGTACCTCATACACACTGTAAGATTACTTTATATTCTGAACACTACCATTTCTAGATCCTGATGTGTCCAGACTACTGTCAGTCTAATTCTTAACACTGAAGGTTACTTAATTATTATGCAAGATCAAAGATGACAGATGTGAAGACCCCTCGACTAGCTCAATGTTTTATATTTTCTCTTTACAATTAATCTCAAAAATGACTTAGGATCTCACACATTATGTCCTACCCTCAGATGCTCTGTAAGAAGGATAGTATATTGTAGAATTCTGTACTGTATCCTGTGGAATGAAAAACCTGAACTTTTGCTACAATTTTTGCCCAACTTAGCTATAATATGAGTTGAGGCTCTGGTGTTGTATGTTTAAAAAAATACATGTCTTTGTTTTTGGTAAGGTGTTGAAAAAATCTGATGAGATACTGTAAATTCTCAACATTTTTTAAAAACCAGAACAGCTAAACTTACTGATTACAAGTAGATTGTTTTGATTTATTTTAGAGCTGGTGAGAAGATTCTCACCTGCTCACATGACCTACTGACTTCAGTAGCGATTATGAGTAGGCATTGCATCTGTAAAAGCAAATCTCTTTTTCTGAAAGAATTACAGTTAGCAAACAAAACCACTTTCCATGTAAACTCACAGTATTTTCCTTTTAGAATCATGCACAATTATGAATCAAATTAAAAAATACACTTTCTTGTAGTTTGACTGAAGAAGCACAACTGCAATACAAACATCAAAAATGTTACCGATGTTTATGCTCTCCTTTTTGCTCTAACCATACAGATTTATAGAGAAATCCTACAATTGCTGTTTCAATTGTAAATGTAAAATGTACATTTCAACTACAATACTACAGAAATGCAACAGGCACACTTAATCGAAGTTTTAGGCTAGCACATATAAACAAACCTTTGTATCCACTCCATGGATATTTAATACAAAACAGTCCTTCCCATGGCATACTGTGAATACAGCAAGCTATTGACTCGAGCAGTTAAATGCATCTAGAGCAACGTGGAAAATGAAGAAATGAACGACACAGGTAAAAACACCTGCAAAGCTGCAGAGGAGGAACGTACGTGCAAATGAATTGTCTACTATCTAATAGATACATGAAACCTCTTAGCATGAAGCCACTGAACAGGAATACTGGACTGATGTGACTTTGGTTTGCTTTCTTCCAGCCTACACAGTAGAATATCTGTTCACATTTTTAAAGGAGATAGCAGTTGATCCCAGGGGAGCTGAAGCTTGACTCGCATATAGCTGAAATATAGTTATAGGAGAAATAGCAAACACCTGTCTCTACTTATTGATGCTGTTACCTATTATTTGTTTCTAAGGCTTGGATTGTCAATTGCTTTTAGGTACTAAGGTATCAGTACTTGGCAAAACAGTATTTTGTCTAAGCAGATTATGTCTGTTCTTCCAGATGTGGACCATCCACTTATTAAATGCCTTATTCTGGCTACTTATACTTTTAACCTGTATTGCTGTAGGTATTGTAGCTTATGCTATATGGGGAAATTTCTACCAAACATTTACCCAGCATAAGTACTGGATGAATACATATATTAGATTATGAAATTGTATTTCTTATACCTGTGTTCTATCATCTTAACTCACTGTGGGTTTCCAAGATTTAAATATTGACTTTAAATTTGAATACCCTAAAACATCTGAGCAATCCAATAGGTTGTAGAACTGATGATGGAAATAGCTTGGATTAAAAAGGAGTTAGCTATGTTTTCAATAAATTAAATTAATTCAGGAGTTCACCTCTCCTCCCAGTTTTCCAGAGCTCAAATTTAGTGCTCCCTGAGGATAGTGAAAAACTCATTGGACAGAGGCAATAGGATTGATTAAGGTAAAGATACAGGATGACTGAGTAGAGTTAATTCCCAAGTTATGGTGGATTTTACATTTCTTTTTTATGCATTTCAAATCATAGTTTTGTGAATTCAAGCTCTGTGTTCTCCTAGTGGTCAACTAGCTGGCAGAAAATAGATCTGTCTAGTTAGAAAAACTATAAAACAGATCAATGTAAACAATAGATCCTACTTCTTGTTCTCCAGTGTTGCTGTTCTAACTATCCTCCACTCCCACAGAGATGATTACAGCAAGCAAGAGACCCTCTGTATCAATAAGAGGGGAATGCTTTGGCCTGACTGCAACTGATAGAAACAAATAATTAGACACTTTCTAATGATTTTTGCTTTTTTTTTTTGTGCTAGAACAGAAAGCATCACACTCTGCATTAATATTTCTAATGGAGGGCAGGACAGCATCCAGGGGTGCCAAATTCAATTCCCTACTGGCACAGACAGATCCTTGTCTGCCCTGTTAGTAGTATGAGTTATACAGGATAAAAGCAGAGTATTTTTCAGATTTCTACAGCTACGGAGGTTCTTCATTGGGGTGTCTGGGTTAGGTAAACAGTAGGGAGGGACACATTTTGAATGATCTTTTAAATATCAAAATGCTGTAATTTCAAAACTAACAAAAGAATTAATGAGTGGGCATTAAGTCGACTTTTGACTACAAAACATATAGGAGAGAAATACGGAGGGAAACCTGGCTTTAAGTCAATTGTAGAGTAACTACTAATTCACCTACAAACTGAAAAAAATTACTGTTCTGCTAGGAATTCTTGAATTACCTGTACTTTCTCTTATACTCCTACCTGTATATTCAGGTGGACAAAGGCAAGTATAGTTATTAATTCCATCCACGCAAGTAGAATTATTCTCACAATCATTGTCTTCACAGTCATCAACATTTACTTCACAGTTTTCACCTTCAAATCCATCTGCACAAGTGCACCTGTAATACAGAAAACAAAACTAACCGCATGGACATTTTAGCTGGGGATACCAGACAAGAAGTTCTATAATTAAGAGGTACAATAATTCATAATCACTATCCCATAAAGGAACATGGTTGATATAATGTAAAACACCATGTAATAAATGCTTATGGATTTTAAATTACAGAAAAAAGGCTTCTAAATTTGTGCCTTAATATTTAGTTTAAGGAGCTTCTTAAATTAAATCACTGAACATTCCTTTTGAAAAGCGTGCTACCTTTATATTATAAGATTAGATTATATTTCTTATGGAAAGTGATCCTTTTTTTTTAAACACATGGAAAAGACTGTGGAATCAGGGATTAGTATGTAATAGTAGTACTCCACTATCATTCAGTTAAATGCACCAATATAAAGCTCTGTTTAACGTTCCATGCACAATACATGCATTGATATATAAAAACAAAGCCTGTATAAATTCTTCAAAGCAGTAATTTTTTTTGCTTTTACATATGTTTATACAAAACAAATACATCAAAATAGATAGTATATGTGAAAGATCACTCAAACATGACTACACATACATTTTCCTGTAATATGCAGTATGTATAATTTCTGTGGCTTTGATTATAAGATTGCTTTGATTTTCAAAATATGTAGCGTTTAAACAAATAAATGAAAAAGGTCAAATTCTGAGACATGACTGTCACTTTAAATTCTAGAGGCATAGTATTAAGATGTATACGCTTAATTTTTAACGGAAAACTATTTAATCTTTGGACAGAATCTGGATTAAAAAATAAGAATAATGTCATAATGAGTTGCAGGATAATGAATTGTATCTTTTTGAAGTGTCATTTCTAACAAGCTTGAGGTGTAGATTATTAAATGACTAATAAGTTCACATAAGAATGCTAATGAACTTTATTTCATAATTCATGAAGTACATCTGGAGTAATTGTACTGTGCGATTAAATAACTCAAGATTAAAAATGCTCACAGCATGTTTATCTGCTGGCATAGTGAGTTTCAAATGAATCATTAATTTTCTGTTTCACTGGGATTTACATTTTATCATTTACATGCTGTCTGTTGAAGTAATACACATGACAACAGATGAATTGTGAGATTTTTTCAGCAGGGATCTAGCTAGCTATTAATTAGCATAATGGAGTCAATACTATGTTGTCTTGACCTGATATGCCTTAACTAATCACAATCATTTGTTATTGTTTTTAACAGTTTCAAAGCTTTAGAAGCTTTCCAAGGACGGCAACATGTTCTGAAAACTTCACAAGCACTGAAAATCTGCCTTTGTGGTGCACTTACCAGCAAACACAGAGAACCCAAAGATTAACACCAAAATTATTTCAGCATATAAAACTCAGTAGTTTTCCATCCTGTTATTACAATTAAGAACAACCTACCAGAAACCATCTTTTTCTCCTTCTTTCAAATGACAAGTTCCGCCATGGTGGCACGGGTTACTAATGCAAGCATGAATGGGAATATCACAGTCTTGACCCTATGCAGGGAACAACAGTTATAATTAAAGAAGAAAATACAGATAGTAGTGGAAGGGAGCCAAATAAAACTTAAAGGTTGTTAAGGAGAAGCTTCCACTGCAGTAAGCTTTTTCCTCTTCATTCAGTACCTACCTTGAAACCATATGGGCAAGTACATCTATAGAAGTCAACTGGATCATTGGTGCAGGTTCCATCATTTTTACATGGATTTGATAAACAGGGGTTACACTTAGCAAGAATATTAACATCCACAGGCCCTTAAAAATACAAATTTGATAGTCAGAAACAATCAACTATTAATTTATATTTGACAGGATATATCTGCCACGTTGCTTTAAATTTTAAAATGAAATTTGTGTTTTAGACTTTGTGGTGTTTCTCTATGAATGGAATGCTGGACTGTCCTTAATTCTTGTGACATGACCAAATAAATTTAGAGTTGGATTTTTGGTTTAATTATCACTTTTTTTTAAAAAAAGAAGCTGACCCCAAAGTTATTCCCATATCCCTATTCTCTGAAATCTGTACAGTTTTGATCCATGATAATTACCTCCAGTTTGTATTGACAAAATGAAGATACAATTTCAGCTTTTGACTCTTTAGGGGGTAAAAATTGCCTATGAGAAAAAGGGTTATCACAGTTTGCAATCCCGCCTTTGATGCTTTTTCTGAGAATGCTATTTTTAATGTATTTTTGTTTTAATTTATTTTTTATCTGCAGGATCACAGAGATGGCAAAATGAACTGGTAAAATTACCTGTAAATTGGCTGAACATCTGTGAGCTGTAATGTAAATTGCATTGTCCAAGCTATCTCATCGTAAATAGCTCTGTATTGCGCCTTGCTCTCTTATGGAGTCAGCCACAGTTCTGTGCATTACTGCATTAGCTGAGCCCACAAATAATGCAAACTGTACCATGAATCTACGTGCAAGTGAGTGCTGCAAGCCATGCTTGCAGTCTAGTTTCTTATATTAATGATTATAACGACAGAATTCAGAAATGAATATTGACAAAATCTTAAGTTTCAGAAACCAGACTTAGAGCTTTGGCCTACATAAATCTTATCCCTATTATATAAATATTTTTTAGATACTTATTTATTTTTCTGTTGTTTTACAATTTTAATACAGCCTTTTCATGGTGAATTTTCAAGTTAGGAACCATCAATTTTTTTTTTTTTTTTTTTACAACAACCAAAGAAATCACTGGTTATTTGTTAAAAATTAGAAATCACCTGTGTATATAATGATTCTCATTTTCATACACTTTGTGATAGACAAAGGATTGATTACTGTAAGAGAAAACAGGGGTGACTTGGCTAAATGCCTATTAAGAGAATGAACATACATTCTCTACTGTCTCCAGCTCTATTGCTTGATGACATTACTGCCTCCAGCTTGATTTCAGATTTCACCTATGAAAAAAACCTTTAGTTATCCACAGGTGATTTGTACATTTTAAGGAATAACCAGGGATTTCTTCTAACTAGACACAAAACCCAAACTCCTGAGACCTACTGATGGAACCACCTGATTGCTTCGTAACAGGTTTTACTCAAAATGAGCCAGACTGCAAAGTCTTCCAAGCTAACAGGGCAATTTTACTGACATATGGTTTGTTTGGGGTTTTTTTAAGCTTAGACTTCTTAACGTTCTTTGCTTATTTTTCTTTGCAAAATTAATCTCGGATAAGTCACTGTAACGGAGCTGGCATGGAAGGAAGCCATATAAGGATTCCATATAAGCCATGTAAGTCATCCATATAAGGATTCAGTAGGGGGTGTTAGACAGGGAGAGGTCGACTTTTTTAAAAAAAAAAAAATTAAATCTGCACTTGCTGGTATCCTTCTGTGTCACAGCTTGCAAGCAAATCCAAAGAGATGAACACGGTAATCTGTGACAAGATGCTTATTGCCAAAGCCACAATCTATATGGATCATTGACTATTCTTGTCTTCATTACCTTATTTTGAAAGAGAAATCTATACCTGATTAAAATTTCTGTTAGACCAGGAAACAGCAGAGGTAGCAGAGTTGAAACAAACACCACAGAATTAACATCTAGAAAGTCCTGCCTGTGTACTCCAGACTATTGCTGATTATTGCTGGAGTACATTAAGAGGTTCTGTGAAAAAAATAAGGCACATACTAAAAAAAAAAAATATTGTAACACTGTGCTGTAGCCTGGAAGTCTATGCTTCCTTGCCTCAACTATTTGTTCTGAACATCATATCCTCTTTTCTACTTCTTATGCAATAAAATGCTAATTATTTGGCAAGAATTAAAAAACATTCAGTAACTAAGGTTATTTTCCTAAACGGATTAGCAATCTAAATTTCACTTCTGAAACAGAGCCAGAAAATGGGAACGTAAGTCTCAACAAGATAGTAAACAACACTGTATCTGATTTTGTGCAGTGTTTATTTCAAGCTATTATATATGTAGTATCCAATAAAAAATAACATTTAGATTTATCATTCTTCAGTTGTAAGATCAAAAAATGGAAGTGTTTCAGATATTTTTACTGAAGTCTAATGGAAAGGCAGTTCTGGAACCTATTTTCATTTGCACTATACCGTTCCTTTCCTCTTTCTGCTTGTATGTGTTAAAAGCTTTGTATATGAAAGAACTGGGTTCATAACCTATTGCTTAGTTTTTCACATTGTAGATATATATATTCTTGAATAAGCCCTAACTGGAAAAAAGTCCTTAAAATAAAAGAAAAAATAAGCAGTATTCTTTTGTAAACAGTGAAAAACTAATCATATTTTATTGACAAACATACACACACACATAGCTATCTAATATTTTTGAAGAAAAACATGACACAAACCCTCTCAAAATCAGCTTCTAGAGAAAGCTGTTGCAAGAAAAACATTAAGCGCTCACTTTTTATAACTCAGGAATTCCTATTCTCTCCTGCATATGGCCTCAAAATCAGTATCTACACTGAGTCACTTATACTAAAACTGCTAATGAAATCACCGATTTTAGTACAATGCAGTGGAAACAATCATCTTAGATAATTTTCAGACCTCAAACCCAGGCTTTTAAAATAAGAAAACTGTTCATACAATATGTTAAATGATATATCATGAAGAGTCAGCTGTAAATTCATCAAAGGGGAAGACAAACAGTAAACATGCGTGTCTTAGGAAAGAAGTCTGCTTGAGGTACACAAAAGGAAGGTCAGAAGGTCTGAAGGTCCGTTCTTAACCAGATCACCCATTCCAGATCTACTTATAACCTTACCTGGTATCAGAAAACCACAAGGCCCTGGAATCTCTAGAAGCAGGGCATGGATGATAAAGAGGTAAAAGTAAAAGATTGAGAATCTGTTAGAGGCCATATAAAAAATAAAAAACACCCATAAATCTAGAAAAACAACTGAAAGAAGAAAATACTAAGGGATGATTCCTGGAGTAAAAGAATTCATAAAATTAGACTAAGGTACAGTGATTTTATGGAGCTTTTCAACTGAGATGACTTCATTTTAAAATGCTCAGTTTCACTGGGAACTATTCATTATGCAAGTCAAATTCAAGCACCCATTTCACTTTCAATTGAATCCAGAGATACTGATAAGAGGGAATTACATACTACTCTTTTCCTGTAAATATATACACAATAGCAGACCATCAACAGATATATTCGAAAACAGCCTAAATATATCTCACTTGCAGCCTAAAATTTTGGTTCTAATAGGAATATAGCATCTTCCTAATTTTTATTCAGCAGTTCATTTTTAAGCAAAAGATAAAATTACTTATCTTTGAGTAACAGACACATGGTGTCTTACAGGGCCATCATGTCATTGAAAAGCCGCTAATTTGCAATCTGTAATGATGAGCATCTTCATAAGACAGTGGCAGGAAAACTATTTTCTCTCAAAGGTATCCATAATACCAGATCTCCACTCTTGGAAGTGAAACAAATACAGTTCTTACCCTGCATAATAATATAAAGGATACTTTCTGATGGGCAAGAGGGAGTAAGATATACTTTCTGGATTGTCTGACAGAAACATAACAACAATTGTAGGCGGGGTGATACAATTTTTAAAACTGACAGAGCTGGAAAATAACCAAACAAGTCCTTCATGTCCCTGCAAATATACTTTCATTTATATCATAGAACAGAATCATTAAGGTTGGAAAAGACCGCTAAGATCATCGAGTCCAAGGACCCAACATTTTTGGGCAGCCTCTTCCAATGTTCAACCACTTTTTCAGTAAAGACATTTTTCCTCACGTCCAATCTAAACCTCCCCTGGCACAACTTGAGGCCATTTCCTCTCGTCCTATCGCTAGTTACTTGGGAGAAGAGACCGACACCCACCTCGCTACAACCTCCTTTCAGGTAGTTGTAGAGAGCGATGAGGTCTCCCCTGAGCCTCCTTTTCTCCAGGCTAAACAACCCCAGTTCCCTCAGCTGCTCCTCATAAGAGGAGCGGCTCATATCCTTACAACAGTGTGTAATAAGAGCATATCTGCAATAACGTTCAGTGGATGCTTGTAGAGAAAATGATCAGACTGGCCAGCAAATGTCCTATCTAAAATCAGTCTAAGGGACTTTGCAACAGATGAGTGTCGTATGCAGTGAACACTGGCATGACCTTAGAGACGTACTGTTGAAAAATTGCAAGAAAGATTTGGAGGGAGAGACAATTCATTGGCATCATGCACAACAAAATGGGTTCCCGTCGTTTTTGTTTAGAAAAAAAGTTTTTTGACAGAAAGCCTAAGGAGAGAAGACTAAATAGGATGAACATGCAGTGAAGAACAGCTTTGGATGAGACAAACTCCAACAAAGTCCCATCACTTTTTTAAGGAAGAAATTACAAAGAGATTAAGCTCACCTTTGAAGATACAGTAACAGATGAATAAGTCAAAATAGCTTGAAGATTACATAGACTGTGAGAATAAATTACTTCTGCAAGACTTAAGATCCTGTTTATCCGATGCCTCAGAAATAACTATAAGCTTAGTAATGGCTTACAAGTATAAGCGCACATAAATTTTGTTGGGTTTTTTTTTCCATTTGGGGATTTCAATGTTTCTAAATCAGGACCATGAAAAATGAAGCTACAGCAGTTTTCTGTGTTTTCAAAATATTTAAGAAGGGAGAAATGGATGGAATAGAGGAAGATTAAACAGTAAAACAAACCAAGTTCTCTCTCACATATGAGTAAAAAAGGTACTTTTCTAACCAAAAAATAGTAAGGTTCAGAAAAAGAACTTAAGAATTAAGAGATAATAATGTAAGTTATGATATAAATGCCAGCAACATTGGTACCAACATGGAGACAAATACTCCTGGTCCAAACCCTGAGAAACCTCCCCATATAACAACATTTTAGAATGAGACCTCTATAGAGATAATCACATCCCTTTATCTACTTTCTTTTTTTTTAATGCTTTCTTCTGAAATATCAGAGAAAGCATTCTGGACATATTGATGCAATTTCGTACCACTGAGATAATGCAGACTGCAAGGATTATGGATGTATTTACAGTTTTTACTGTAAACAGTCTGAAGGAAAAGGACATTCTTTGGCTAAGGGAAGCGTAGATGTTTAAATTCTAGTTCATGAGTGAGACAGTAGCAAGTACCTATGTACATCCATGTACTGAGGAATACTGTACTGCAAGTCCAAAGACTTTTTTTCTCCATCTACTGTTTGAAAAGAAATAGGCATTGAAGTCTTTAAAATAAATACAGTTCCTGAATGGAACCAATGGCTACATCCCTCAGTATAAGGAGGAATGATGACAAGGCTGAGTGAAGATGCTATAATAAATGTATTTAGAGCATACAGGACTCTTATTTCGCAGCTCAACTATTTGTAAAAATTCAATACTGACACTTTGAAGAGAAAAAAACAACAGTACCTTGGCAAGTAAATTTTTTAGAAGGAGTTGTGAGAAGAAGTTTATCTGCCATTTCTCCAGGACCAGCACAACGTGCAATACCAGGTTCTTTGTATTCTGATTTTACCCAGTCAGATAGCCACTGCATGTTACAATCACAATAAAGAGGATTTGCTCCAATAGCCCTATGGAAAACAGACAAACAAAAAGGGAATAAAGTTTTAAATGGGTGCTTTTAAAAAGAGAACCCAGAAAACAGGTTGGCAAAAAACCCTTCAAACCACAAACCTGCCCTCCCTCCACCAAATTGACCCTAAGAGCATGAAGTGTCTGGATTTGGGTTCTAAATCAAGAAGTGACAGTTTCAGCAGTAAACTTGGTCCAGAAACCTAGCTATTCTTAGCTGCATTATGTGTGAACTTTGGAGAGCTAATACTAACTAGCTCTGTTTCACCGTTGGTATGTAATGGCCAAGATCAGCTGCATCAGCAGAATGAAACTGATACTGGGAAATTAAGTTAGCAAGAATAAAGTATTTCTTCCGAAGCAGCCAAGGCAACCCCACAGAGTTCCACCCTGATATTTTTCCTTTTCAGTTTATGACTCCCAGGCTGGTACAAATCATCTGTTTCTAAGCTTCCAAATTTGATTTAATTATTTCCTCTTTGGAGCTCTCCCACTGAACTCACAGCTATGTGCAGAATTCTGTAAGAGGTCTCTGCTGCATAAGTAAATAAAACTACATTATCCTAGCTTTGTGGTAGTTACATAAGAATTGCCCTGTTATGAAAGCAAATCCATTTCTTTAAATAAATCTGATTTTTTTTAAATTAAAAAACAATTTAGCTAGAGCTTTTCAGAAGTAATTTCTGTAAAGGCTTTTTAAGTGTATATTCTATGCTAGAAACTATAAATACTCTTAAAACTCTGAGAACAATGATATGTTGTGTAGTTAATTTGGAGGATAGCAGCAGTGTGCTATTCAATAAAGGTGTACTCATATTCCTTTTAAGAAATACAATAATCATAGAACTTTCAACAGATAATCTTGCACACACTGTCAAATGGCAATATTAGAACATCCTCCTTCTCCAGATGCTTCAGTACTTTTTTTCAGATTGTTCCACAACTTTGGATCAGTGGGTCTCCTGGAGATACAAGAAAACCTTTGGCAAGCAAAGGCGGTAGAAACTACCACTGCTGAAACACTTTTTTCTGCCAGACTGAGCAGGAAGCCCTCTCGTAATTATCACTACATACTTCCAGCTGAACACAAGAAATGATACATACTTGTTCAGTCAGGCTTAAGTCAGAGCAGTAACAAAGATCAGACCTAGTGATAGGGAACTTCCCATGCAAGGAGAAATACCTAGAATTTGTCCACTCCATATTTGCAAGAGTGAATGTCAGCCTGAACTGTGATAACGCAATTGCTCTGCTAAAATCAGAATGTTAGCAAGGATAACTGGTAGCCATTAAGAAAAGAGTAACAGCAACAACAATCAAATCTATGTAAGTTTTACTGATATTTCATTCAGATAAACTAGTTTAATAGTAGCATTTGAATGAATAATCAATGACTTAAAGCTTAATCAGTATCATCACATTTCTGAGAAATGGCAAATTAAATGTAAATGTCCAATACTGAACTAGAAGCAGATAGTTAAGTTTTTAACAATGGCAGCTGTTCAGAAACATAAAAACCAGACATCTAAAGGCACTAGTCAACTTACCCCTCAATTGCAAGCAAAGATTTAATAACCATCCATAAACACAACAAGGTTTACAGATAGGTACCTTGTTCTAATCTAGGTTCCCATTGAAAATTAAAACCAGGAAAAGTATTGCCTCAAATGATGTTCGGAAATCAGATGCCATGTATTTAATGTCAACTTAACAGACACCGACACAGAACCATAGAATGATTTAGGGCACTCCAGAGGTCACCTAGTCTCACCCTGCACAAAGCAGGGCTCACTTCAAAGTCAGAGCAGGGTTGCTCAGGGCTGTGTCCAGCTGAGCTCTGAAAATCTCCAGGGATGGAGATTCTTCTGCTTCTTTGGCCAACCTGTTCCAAAGCTGAACCACCCTCACAGTGAAGAATTTTTCATTATGTTCAATCAAACTTCCCTTGCTGCAGCTTGTGACTGTTGACTCTTATTCTTCACTGTGCACCTCTGAGAAAAATCTGTCTCCATCATTGCTGTAATCCCCTTAGAGGCTTAAAGACTATTACGTCTTTCCTTGGCATCTCCTTCTTCAGGCTAAATAAGCCCAGTTCCTTTAGACTCTCTTCACAGCTCATATGATCCAGACACCTCCCCACCTTGCTTGCCCCTATCCTGGATTTGCTCTGGTTCATACACATGTGCTTTGTAGTGGAGAAACTGAACACATATTCCAGATGTGGCTTAGGAGGGCAAGCAGAAGGGAGCGACTGCTATCTTCAATCACCTGGCTGCTTGCTTTCTAATTCAGCCCAGAGCGTCTTTAGCCTTCATTGCCATAAGAGCACATGGCGGACATGTTCAATTTGCTGCCCACCAGGAGGCCCATGATTTTTCTGCTGAGCTGCTAGCTCTCTGGCCAGTCCCCAGCCTGTACTGATGCAATGAGCTCTGCATTTTGTCTTTGTTCAACTATATGAAATTTGCTAAACCTAACATAAAAATACAGTTATCATCTGAATACTCACAGGTGTGATAATGCTGAAAGATCACTAAAAGCTCCTTCAGGAACAACAGAAATGTCATTTCCATGTAAAGACCTTAAAAAGAAAATAAACAGAATAATATATATGCATAAAAATCAGCAGGTTAACTTTGCAAATTTCATCTTCGGTAAACAGTTTTCAGCTTTTCACATTTTTTTCTTCCAGTTCCTCAGTGTTTCCAGCTGTTTGGTTTTTTTTAAGCTCTAACTGGCAGCCTACTTGACACTTGGTTTTTTTCGTCCTGAATTTTCATAAGAAATGTTAATAATATGATTTTTTCTAAATTGAAAGAGTAAAGGTCAGTAAAAGTAGGCACACTTCTGCAAAGTATTGATTGGATTTAGGGATAGCAGGAGAGTTATTATTTCTGACTTTTTCAGCAATTCCCTGAAATTCCCATTAATTATGTTCATACTTTTTTTCAATCTTTCATGGATTCATCGAAGATACAGGCATTGACTGTTCATTAATATAAGTATTAAGGTTGCTGCCCTAATTTGATAGTAAAGTTAAAGAACTAAAGTCCTTATTAAGCATCAATACCAGGACTAGTGTTCTCTCTCCTGTAGCAAACTACAAAAATATCTCTCCTTTTCTATAAATTCATTCAGTTACATGTATAGCTAACACATATAGAATTATGGTTCTTGAAATTATCCATATTCATATAAAATAGTTGACGTTATGTGAGCACACTTAAATAATGCCATACTTGAGACATTTAATCCAACTAAGCTATTAAATGGTTATAAACTACCCAAATGGAGGCAAAAATTGCACGTTCTGCTGGGCACTTTTGAGAAAGAATTTTTGCAGCTTTGTGGTTGTTTTTTTTCTTAGTGACAAACTGAAGCTGTAAACTAGACTGACTGTTCTTTATTTTCCTTTGTCCCTTTTTGTGCCCTTTCAACCATGTTTTTCCTAGTGGTAAAATGGAAAGTTTTCTTTATAAACTACCCAAATGGAGGCAAAAATTGCACGTTCTGCTGGGCACTTTTGAGAAAGAATTTTTGCAGCTTTGTGGTTGTTTTTTTTCTTAGTGACAAACTGAAGCTGTAAACTAGACTGACTGTTCTTTATTTTCCTTTGTCCCTTTTTGTGCCCTTTCAACCATGTTTTTCCTAGTGGTAAAATGGAAAGTTTTCTGAACCAAAAAGTAATTTTATTGATTTTCAATAGTAAAATGTTGTAAAAGTTTTCTTGGAACCAAAAAGTAATTTTATTGATTTTCAATAGTAAACCATGTTGTAAAAGTTTTGGAAATAATCCTGTATTAAAAGAAACAACAAAGAAATAAATTTATTGTTGGAATAAAAATATTCAAAATTCAACTGCAAAACCCCCTCATATATACTGAGGAATTTATGCATATGGCATTTTTGTTAGACTTTAATGCTTATCACAAGGAAGAACATAACACAAAAAAGAAATACAGCCAAGATTAAAAAGCAGAAAAGAAAAAAGTGCATGTCTGTATATACAATGTTGTCCAGGGTCATATAACGTCTTGTGCAGCATTTTGAGAGTATACTTCCCCATGATGAAGCCACATAGATTTTTAAGGATACGTAATTATCACTTCTCAAATTCTTGATAGGTTTTAAACCCTAGTAACTTCCTACAGATTTGCTATCTGTTGTACACAAATAAAAATTCTGGAAAATAGCAATGGTTAAAAAATAATACTTACAACAACCTGAGTGATTTCAACCCATCAAAAGTCCGTGCAGGGATACACCTCAGGCGGTTGTAACTAAGAATTCTGAAAATATATAAAATACTTTCAGCAAGTATATCAGCCATTCAGTAAACAATGCAGAGCATGACCAAAACACTAGCTTTTGCACACATAGCTAGTTAGGAAACAAGTTATTTTACAGCCTCCACAACAAGCAAGCTTTAATATCGACTAAATGCCCTTTCTCTCCAAGACAAAAAAAACCCACTGTAATGCTTCCAAAGAGTCACTGTTACATGTTTAAACTTACAAGGTGAGCAGCTGAGTCATGTTGCTGAAGCTCTGATTAGAAAGAGTGCTGATTCTGTTGTTACTTAAATCTCTATAAAAAATAAATTCAGAAATTCAGACCTTAAAATGACTGCCCCAGTCCTGAAACACTGTAAGTTAAACTGACAGACACATTAGTAGTAGTAGTAGTATCATCATTGGTATCAACATTTAAAGCAGCACATATTTTTATTTTCACATGCCATATACAAGCCCAGCAGGTGTTTAGCTTGATCAATGAAAAGCATTTTCATTTTAACACAGATGAAAAAGCAGCGCAATGCATTCTTATACAACAGCAATGTCCATCATGCTACTGAGTTAATAATGCAATCCTGCATGAACCCAACTACAGAAATTAAAGTAATGTTTTAAAAGTGGAAATCATTCTAGTCATGTCCCTAATATCACCTGAGTAAATATCACCTAATACTCTACTTAACACTTATATGCTGAAGACATCAAAGCCCAGAGCTATTATGATAAAGAACACTATCTAACTTTATAGAGAAAGCCTTAACATCTTTCCTGTTGTTCAATATTCTAATGAATAAAATCTTAAGCATAAGTATGATGGAAGCTGCAGTAGTATGATGGTAGCTTCAAAGATAGTAGGTTCAAAGAAGCTTTGAAGAAGCTGTATTAAATGTGAATACTGCTTGTTCTTTATTTTCATATTGTGCTTTAGTTTTCATTTTATGTTGACTATTTCACTATTGTTTACTGTATTTTGTGGTGAAATACAGCATTTGTTTCTGAGGGGAACCTTGATATTTTAACTTGAGTACTGTTGAATAGCTGTGCAATATATGTATTTCTCCCCTTGCAATTTCATGAAAGCATGTAAGACAATTGACTCATCATAATAAACATATTAGGCAAGTATAACAGAGCAATCTATTCAAAAGAGAAAGAAAAAGTTAGAAATAAACAATTTTCCTTGTTAATCTGGAACTCAGGAGGCTCGTATGTAATTCCTTGTTTGGCCACAGAACTATGCATAGTGTTTTGGTTTTCCAACCACAGCTGAGGAACATTCTCAACTTCGTAACAGCAGTATGAGGATATATTCAGAAGAGATTACAATAACGTGCCCCACAGGTCTGATAAATAGAGACTGTTAATACTCATCTTATCTGCATTTTATTTACTGTTCATCTATAATTTATTGTATTACATTTGTCTGCTAAATTGTTTGTGTGTATTTTCTGATTAGGGGGTAAAGTTATATCATTTCTGTCTGTGTTTGTCAAAAAATAGACCACGAGTACCTAACCTCTGTGATGAAAGCCTTGTCACTATGACTCTAACCTCATCTCTAGACATATATCCAGTCTCCACTGATACTGCTGCTGCACACAGTCCAATCTACACGCTTGCTTCTTGTACTGAGGTTCCAAAGTTTGTATTTTCTGTGTGCTGCAAGTTAGATCTTGTATAACCTCCCTAAACAATCCACAAAGATTTCCTATATGTTCTACGTTGTATACATTTGAGAATATTGCAAGGGTTTTTTCCTGATGTTATTTGCAAAATACAAAAAGTTTTGGAAACATGTTTTTTCTAAATTTGTGACCGTGACCACTTTTGTCTAGCATGAGGTAAATAAAGGAAATCAAGTTCTTGTTTTTGAATGCCAAACCATTTTCAACTTTTGCAGCAAAGCTCTAAACCCAGTCAAAAAGAAATTTAAGGGATTTTGTTACTCCCCTCCACTTTTTATTCTGATTATAATGAAACCACAAACTGCTTTCAGAATGTTACACAGTTCAACCTCAGCTGGTATAAATTTTTGTAGTCCTAACAAAGGCCATGGAATTACAGCCATTTACATCGAGAGTCTTCCTGTTTCTCTCACTGTACTCTTACAAGGTACTGAAATCATATTCAAATAATTCATGAAGTAGAGGTAATAAATTTTAGAGCAGCCAGTGATTTGCCTCAAATCACAGAATGAGTCAGCAATACAGTTGGGAGTAAGGCGTTCTAGTCAAGCTCTCTTCTTGAGTCATTAAACCATATATTGTGGGAGAAACAGAAGAGGTTACACTCAAGTGTTACAACAGCTGTTATGTGCTATTCCTACGTGAAGCATACCACGGAGTGAAACATATCACAGAATGTTTCTTTTGTAACTGAAATGATTCTAGTGCCTTTACGGAGCTGCGTAACAAAATGCTGCATTACCCTAACACATTTTGTAAGGTCTTACATCTCTCTTCAGGTTAACTATAATTTCTGCTTATTTACTTTGTGATGTAATCACTGGAATGAAATACCCCTGTTTATAAAATGTGACCGAGTATATTATATGTAGGATGTGATAAGTAGAATAAAATATCCTCCATTTCATAAATGTGGTTGGGTATTACATTTGCTAAAAGATATGATACATTTTATGGTTTTTTTCTCTTATAACTAAAGCCAGGTATAACGGAGTAGGCTTTTTTCTTTTGGTTTGTTTTTTTTCATTCCAATAGAGAATGTTGTTCTAAAACTACTTACATAAGTGTTAAATGCTTGTAGTTGGAAAGCTCTTTTGGAACAAGGGTAAACTGATTTCCATCCAAATAACTAAAATAGAAAAATAAAACATGGAGCATTATTTTTTTCATTAAAACAGTAGCATCTTCATCCACTAATCTTAGAATGCAACAGTAAAGTTAATAACAAATGAATACATAGTATTTCCGTTTTATAAGAAACCTTGCTTACAAATTTTGGTGTTTAGGGACACAACTGAGGACCAGTAGCCTAAGATCCAAATGCTATTATATGAGATATTATGAATAGTATAAAGTAACAGTAATAACAACCAACTCTTACATAGTACTTTCTATTATTTCGTAAAGACTTTGCAAAACAGGTGACAAATAAATCTAACTTCTGCAAGTCACATTAAGTGTGGATTTTGAGCTATCGTAAATAGAAACAGACCTTGACATTGCAGAAGTAGTCCTTAACAGTAGAAACAGCAAGGGCTGGTCTCAGCTCTAACAGCATTTGTCATGCCTGCAGTTCAGGTCACCTACCTTAATTTCTCCCTGTATATCTCATGATATATCAGGCATGACATACTGCAAGCCTGTTCCTATGGAGTATGTTAGGGACTAAAGACAGTAATCAATTACCCTTCACCAGAAAAGTTAGATTCCCCCCCGCCCCCCTTGTATGTTTACAGCTCCTGTATTGTATCGCTTGCTCTTCTTCCATGCTCATAATTCTCAGTAACAGACTTGTTCATCCTTACAGTTAACAGGTGCAGAGCCATCAAACTGTATTGGCACCTGAGTTACAGGCAAAGGAAGGTAATAAGCCTTGCCTAAAAAGCTTCCAGTGTGCAGCCACTCAGTACAAAGTGCAAGTGGAGGGGCTCTTCATGTAAACAGGGCAAGTAGTTTAGAGATGATAAGAAGTGCTGAATTTACCTGATTCTCTGAAATGGAGCAGACAGTGGCAGGAAGATTAAAGGTCTTTAGTTTCTCAACTGGGGCAAATGACTTGCTGATGGTGGTATTATAGTGGTATTACTTGTGTCTCCTGGAACCCAAGTGAAAACTACACCCTCATTATCCCTATACAAAGAAGATATTTTAGCCATCCAAATACTTGGAACACACTTGAGTTAAGAGCAGCCTCTGATAGAGACATTCTTAGATTAATTTTGAGCTTAATGTCTTTAAGTATGCTGCAGCATCTTTGGAAACTTTTGTCTTGACTAAATGGATGGGCTGAAACACAGTAAAACTTAATGAAATAACTGTTTACATCTAATCAAAAAGCTTTTTCTTTCTGTGTTTTTTTTTTCCCCTTGGACCATGCCTTCCTTAGGGCTGCTTGCCAAACCCAAACTATGTGTCTCAACAAGTTTTATGCTTACACTATGTTAATGGCATTACATAAATGGTGGTGAATGGAGCATGGGCTCATATACTTAATTATTAAAAAAGAAACAAACAACATTTAAATTTTTTGAAGGAGTAAGTATTCTGAGAAAATTCTTTTATCGACAGATAAATTAGGATATATTGCTTTTGCTTCATTAGAACTGAAGTACTGCAAGTATCCACTTGGCTGATAAAAATTCCTTCTTGTTCAAATGAAGCAACTATTAAGATATTTTATAAAACACATGAAGAATAAATCTTGGAAGGGTTATGCATGCTAATGAACAAGAAGAATCAATCAGTATGCAACTGCTAACAGGAACCACCTCCATTATCCTTTTGAAATGATGCTAAATTGCATGTTTAGACACTAATTAAAGCATACAAAATTGTACACAAATGAGTTTTCAGTCACAGTCAGGGTTCCACTTGCACTTCCAAAAGAATCTCTCTTTAGCTCCTTAATTTTACATTGCATTGATGCCCTTACATTGTCAAATTGTATTTATTAGGCCAGACTATATTTAATTAAGTCATCTTTTATTTGAGGAAAAAACCCAACACCAAAACCTAATGAAATAAGTTACAGGTTTATATCGCTGTGTGCTAATTTGAGTTCTTAATAATTTCTCTTCATTAATGACTAAAGCTTTTGGATGCTATTAAGCACCAAACTAGTGGTGGACATTTCAGAATCTTCTGTATAATACCAAATGGTAAAACAATAACACTGTTTTAGTGACATAAGAAACACAGTTATGATGTCTTCTGAAAAAGCCCTACGTTAATTAGTCATTATGAAGCATTAGTAATTTAATATTAAATACTTGCCATATGTAACACAAACTCAACTTTTTTTCTTCTCAATCATTTCTATCTCTTTCTTTCAATCTTGTGACCTATCTGGTCAAGATTCAAAACAGATGAATAACCCAATTTTTAGGTTTATATTTTCCCTTTCGTAATGCATAAAAATTGACTCATCTAGTCTTATGAGTAGCTTATTCAGTTATTATCTTCAAACAATACATGAGGTAGCAAGCTCTCTTTTATATCAATGTTACTGTCCATCTGCATATTCAAATTATATCTTTTCATAAAATGCAATCTTAACCATTTTTCTCATATAAAAATGTATCAAGAGTTTAATAAAATATCCCAGATTGTATAAGACTGCCTATATGAAAAGTAAGACTTTCTATTAAAATCACTTTTTGAAATATCACAAAAACATGTTTATTATGAAAATATGCAAACACATTAATAGATTGTTTTCTTTTTGCTTTTCATGTAATTGAACTTCTTAATTCCTTCCTAAACAGTGACCATAGGTTAAACAGATTCACTGTTGCCCATAATTTAACCCATTGTAATATGATGGGTTATATGTAATGTAACATATGTAATATAATACATCTGTAATATAATACATGTGTGATATATATATGTAATATTATATATATATATG